CCATGTTAGAAATTAAAATTGTTTGGTGAGGCAACTAATTGGGCCTGCCTTTAGCAGGCTCAAAATACTACAGATCAAGGGCCCTGGCAAGATATTCTGGGCCATTCCTAATTAATCCTAGTTGGTAAAAAAATACTCCTAGAATTGCCAATACGAAGTTAATAATAAAAAATTTTTAATATAAAGAGTTAAAAATAAAATTTGTAGAATATAAGAGCAACCCTTCATTACTAAATAAATACTTTTGGGGCCTAAAACTAGATCCAACTGGATTTTAGCTGTATGGCGAGAGTGTTCTTGTGCAACTTAAAACCTCTGGGCTTTGACTTCTCAATGTTCGTGTTTCATTGCAAATTTACCATCTGTGCAGTGTTTTTTTATTTTTTATTTTTATCATGAAATTTGTGTGTGTATATTATATATATATATTTTTTCAAGTCCAAGTAAACTTGAACATACACTCCCAATCTTACCTCTAGGTAGGGATAATGGGCAGGGGACCAAGCCCATCTCCATCCCTGTTGTCTAGCATAACTGGCATAACTCTATCGGTCTTCATGACTTCATCTAAATTTATTTATTAGACGGACCGAGGTTGTGGTACATACAAGGTGGAATGGGCGTAGAGTTGGGAAAATACTTTTGTAATTATAATGTAGATAAGAATAAGATCAAATTCTCAATTAGAAATTAAGATTTAATATTATTGTGTGTAGGTGCAAAAAAATTTCGGACCCAACACTAAGGTTCAATATGAGAATTTGAACGCCAGAACACTTCAATAGAAAAAATAGTTGAAGGAAAAGAAGAAAAAAATAGCCGAAGAACAGCTTAACAAGAAAAACGAGATCACAGAAGAACAAGGACAAATATAACTCTGTCTTTCATTTGGGTCTTGCCCCCTTATTTATATTTTTACAAGTAAATGTTCATGGAACAGTTATTATATGAACATTATTCCTTCCTGATTCTTTGTGATATTTATGGCGAGCGTTACTTCCATTTGTGTTGACCAAGGTCTTAGATTGGGCTTGATGGGCTTTGTTCTTCTGTTCGGGCTGATTTGGTGTTCTGTGTTTTCCTTCTGCGCCTTTGGTTGCTTGGTCTGGTTTTGGGCTTTTGGCCCAATACATTTTGGCTGACAATTTATTGACATGTGGCGTCTTGTGAGTGGTGAAAAATTTCCATCCCAAGGTAAAATCATAATAATATATAAAAGGTTTTTCAAATAAGAATATTACAAAATCATATCTAGTAATTGTTATTAAAACGTTCCTACAAAAATGGAATATAATAACTTAAGGTTTGCTCAATACATATTAATATTTTTTAATATAAAATAAATTATAATAGCAAAATTTTAAACTTTTTTTCATCCTTTGATTTGCAACCGTGCAAGTTTTCAATTCTAACATGTATACTTGTTCTAAAATATTGTAACCACTCTATATCTATTATAAGGGATGGGAATTTTTGTCATTTCTACTAATAGGGTTGAAACCTATGAAGCACGGATGCAGACACGACGATACGATAAATTTAAAAAAAAAAAAAGATACAGGTACATATGGATGCATCAAAAAAATTAATATAATATTTTTTTTTACCATTTTATACATATAATCATAAATAAATTACTAATTTGAAATTTAGAGCTAGATGTTTGTTGTTTTTGTTTTCTTAAATTTTATATTATTTCTAATTAATCCATAATAGTGCTCTATCCGTGGGAATGAATTATATATATATATTAGCAAGAAATTCACACACCCACTATGCTCTTTTGGAGATTCGAACCCTCACCATTCATTTTGAGAGATAGAGGAGATACCACTGAGCCACAAAATCCTTTGTTGATATGATGGTTTACTCTTTATAAGTTCAATGTAAGAAAGTTAAATTAGAAATGTTATAAACAAAAAATTAGCACTTTGACTTTTAAAATGAGACTATAGATTGATGCCACAAATTCCATTTATTTTGAGACAGCCAGAAATAAAAAGAATGCCGTTTAATTTTGGATGAAATAATATTGAATTTCATTTTTTTTAAAGATAATTACAGAATCACCTGTATATCCGTATATGCTAAAAGAGTGTCTGATACCACCACGACTTCTATGCTCCGTTTGGTATGATGAAAGAAAATTGGATGGGAGAGAGAGAGAGAGAGAAGAATAGATGAATGAGACTTCAATAGGGAAGATATTATGTACTTCCCTCTTTTTGTTTGGTTAGATGGAAGAGAAGAGACTGAAATAATATTTTATTTTATTTGTTAGGAGAGAAGGAATGAGAAAGTACTAATTATAAGAAAAGTTTTGTAATTTAAAAATATTTATAATAACATGTCTTTCTTTATTCGTGTCTGTCGCCATATTTGGAGGGAAGAAAATTTGTGAAAGAGAAAGAATGTCTTAGATCAGCTCCAATGCAAAATGCTATTTTTGCATGCCAAATCTATATTTTAACAGTTGGTGTCAAAATGCTACATTTTAACAATTCTGCTCCAATGGTGCATTTCATGCAAAATGCTATTTTTTGACACAACCACCATTCTTTTTCAACTGTCATTTCCATCATTTATATTTGCATCAGTAATATTAATATTAGATACATTTCAAGTCAAGTTATAGACATTAGAAGGAAATTAAAATTAAACATAGTTAAAAAAAAAAAAAAAAATCAAAAATCAAAAATCAAAAATATCTTGTCAAAAAAGGACCAAAAAAACAAAAGAAAAGAAAAGAAAAAAAGAGAGATAAAACAAAATGATATAAAAGAAAATAAAATTAATGTGATAAAAAATTCAAAATCTATTAAAGGAATTCTAGAAAATTCCAATATGGAGTACATGAAATTCAACTAAGTGAAGCAACAACATACCGTCTATAATGAAAAATAAAGTCTATCAACAGAGACTCCCCCCCCCCCCCACCCCACAAAATAAAGATTAATACTAATAATAACAACATAATCTAAACAAAAAATCCAAAAATTACATTAATATAAAAATGCTAGAAGAACATTAATTCCATCAAATTACAATTTTTTTATGATCTTTTTAAAATATATATATATATATATATATCTGAACCCCCCTTCTCTCTCTCTCTTTGAACTTGCCTTCTCTCTCTCTCTCTCTCTCTCTCTCTCTCTTTCTTTGTGCAACTGCAAACTACAAAATCTACAAGAATCAAAAGTTCAAACCCATATCGGCATATTATTTCAGATTGTTCAAAAAATCAAAACTCATATCTTTCAGTTTTCATCGCCCTCTGTTCCAGTTCGGGTTCGCCGTTCGCAAGCTTCAGCCGCTATCTCTCAACTCTCAAGCTTGCCCCCCTCTTTCTCTGCAACTGCTAACTTGTACGAATGGGTTTTGTTTATTTTTTTTTTCTTTTCTAAATCAACTAACCAAGGTCTGTAATTCTTGTTTTGCAAACTAAATCCTATTTGGTGAAATTTTTTATAATCTTTTTTATATATCTGAAACCCCCCCCCCCCCCCCCCCCCATCCCTCTCTGTCGTTCTCTTTCTAAAATAACAGTAGCTATTTGTTGTGCCACATTTGGCACCAGATTTAGCAAAGTTAAAAATTGGTAGCCCATATAGCACACCATTGGAGAACCCATTTTACTCCCACTTGCTATATTTTGAAATGGCAGCCAATATAGCACACCATAGGAGATGCTCCTATCTATCATTTTTTTTCTTTTATCCTTACCTCATTTCTACCAAACTAATGAAGTTTGTCTTCCCTTCACCCCTCTTCCTTCCTTACAACCAAACAGAGCACTAAGAGCAAATCCAATGGTGCAGGTTTTAGAGATTTTGGACCCAATTTAGCGATGTAAGAAGTCCAATGGAGTTTCTAATTGGTGGGCCCAAAAATTTGGGTAGCGAAAAGGGTCGCCAAAAAGGGCGACCCAGTTGGCGATCGTGAGCTTGCTTTGTGTGGGCCCACCTGCTTTTTTATAATTGCTTTAAGCCCAAATATATATTTTTTCTTTTCCTAAATGAGTTTTAAGCCCAAATCACTGTAGCACTTAGCCTAGAATTGGGTTAAGGACATGTTTGGTTGGAAAAAAAATTCCAGAAACCTATTTTTTGAGTTTTTTGGGCTGTTTTTTATTTTTATTTTTATTTTTTTCCTCAACGTAATTGAACAAAAGAGCCGTTAAGGCACTGTTTGACCGGCACAAAAAGTGCCTTAAAGACTTTTTTGGACAAAAAAAGTAAAAAAAAAAAAAGAGAAGTGCTTTTTAATTAGAAAAAAATATTGCATATGATTGTGCCATATGATTGTTCTTTAAAAAAAAAAGGAAAAAAGTGTCATACGATTGTTATTTTTTCCTAATTGATTTTAATAATGGTATTGTATTGTTTATTTTATATATTTTTTTAAAATTCATATAGCATTGTGTTGTATTAATTTTTCTAATCCATAATAAATATTGTATTATTTAATAGTTTTTGTATGATATAAGGAAAAAGTAAAAATAAATAAATAAATAACAATTTATTAAAAAAATTTAATTTTTGAATAACAAAAAAATACTATTGAAGCACATGTAAATTGCGATGGCTAAAATATAAAGAATATAAAAAATTGACGTGACTCTTAAAACTAGACAAATTTGGAGCTCAAATTTTAAAGATATCATTGGAGATGCTCTGAGGTGAAACCTTTGGGAAAAATTTGTTACAATGCTAAAACCAAGTAGGCATGATGTTAGACTACCAATAAGAGCCAGCCACCCACATGTCACTAACGTCATCCATAAACCCCTGCAAAAAATCTCATTTCCCCACTCCTAATTCGCCACGCGGGATTTCCACACTCTTCTCTGCTCTTCCACTGACCACGTCACCCCCAACCACTCTCGATCACTCCCCCGCTCTCTACGTGTTCACTTTCCAAAACCATCGATTTCCTTAGACAAGCACTCATCACCGTTGATTCTCCCTCAGAAAAAGCTTGTGGACGCCATACTTCCAGTATTTATAAATTTTTATATTTTGAACTCTTCTCTCTCTCTCTCTCTCTCTCTCTCTCTTCCATTCAGATTCACCCTCTGCCACCGGAATCGCGAGTTTTTCACCGGAAAACCGCCGGCTAGCCGGCATCTCCCGTCGGATATATTGCCATCTGTAGAGGTATAGTGCTCTGCATTTGTCTTGCTTAATTGTTAAATTTTATATTATGATTTGTTTGATTTCCAAGAAAATCTTGAAGCTAGTAATTCAACAGAACTTCTCATTACTTGTACATAGTGATGTACCTTATGTTGATGAGTGTGAACACAGAGTCACTTTTTCGCTTTCTCTATGTTTTACTACACTTGATCACCAATTGATTGAAATATAGATTGTGTTGTGATTCATTATGAAATTCTATATTTAGTTAAATGTTTTAGCCGATTGAACTTGAATTTATATCCTTTGCTAGTATTGGATATATTACTACTTTCCCTTGTCGCATTTCTTTAAAATCAGTCTTGGATATAGTATGATGAATTTGAATTTGTATCTCATATATGTTGAATTTTGATCTCAATGCTCATGTGATCAACTAGAAAGCATTTGATTGTCAACCTAAGTTGCCAAAGATTTTGAAATGTTTTGACTAAAAACCACTTCTCAACTTCATTAAGCAAATACTCGAAGTTCATAGAAAATTAACTGGGCAATAATGTAAAAATTTACCCATCTACTATATTTTTTGCCAAAATTTCTTAAGTAGATGGGATTATGGTTTTTTTTTTTAAGGTGTTTTAGTTACATTTTCCTAATATTTTATAAACAGTTGAAATGAATGCTGATTGAATTTTGTGTATGAGTATGACAAAAAATTTATCTACCGCCTCCTCCTGTTCCAGGACCTGTGTTGTGAGTGAACTCTGATTCATAGCATAACTTTCTGATTGGGAACTTGGCATGGGAGTTGTGACTGTTTCTAGCTCGGCTTCAAGGACTCCGTTGGGATTGAGCACTAGATTTTTGTCTTACGAAGCTCCATTAAAAAGACCATTAATTTTAGCATTCAAAAGAGATAAAACTAAGAACACATCATTGGTTGCACCCCATGAAACGATATCTTTACCCATTAAGAGACCTAAAGAGAACCAGAAGAGACTAAGAAGAGCTACAAAGCCTTTAGAAAGAGTAAATGCTGTCTCTATAGATGAAACTTCTCCATCCACTTTGGAATTGGATTACAATGAAGCCGCTGCCAAACTTGAAAATATATACAAGCTTAGCCCCACAAGTTTTGTTTCTGATACAGAAGAGATAAATCGATTGGTGAGGAGAGGGCGGCAGCGGAGAAAGAAGATTGGGGAAGGTGATGAGAAAGCAGAGAATAGAGGTAAGAGTGTGGTGAGGAATAGAAGGAAGAAAGTTAGACGATTGAGACTTGATGAGAGGGTTGCATTGAGAAAGAGCGAGGAAGGTGAAGTGGTTGCTTCAGTTCACAAAAGAGAGCATACTGAGGATGAAGATGAAAGAATTAATAGGCTTGTCAGGGAGTATTCAGCCTCAACCGACTTGGTCAGCTTGGACTGGAAGAAGATGAAGATACCACCAGTTCTCCCTTCTTCGGAACATGCATGGCTTTTCAAGTTGATGCAGCCTATGAAGGTGAGCACTTTCAACTAAACAATAAACCACTATATTATAAACTTTTTTTTTTGTTTTTTTTGTTTTTTGTATTTTTGGGGATTTGGTTGTTTTATTTGCTCAATTACACTTGGTTATTATTCTGCTGCTAACTCATTTAAGTTCTGGATCAGCCACTCCTTGAAGTCAGGGAGAACTTGCAACATGGTTTGGGGCGTGAACCGACAGATGGTGAAGTAGCAGATGCAACAAAAATGAATGTAGTTCAAGTACGAAAGCATATGGAGGTTGGTCGAGCTGCCAGAAACAAGCTGATTAAGGTAGCAATGATCACCTGCCATACCTTGATGTCATTAGAGCTTAAATTTTTTTTTTTACCATTAAGAGAGTTTTTAACCTTACCCATCAAAGGAGAGAAATAAAGAGAAAATAAAAGACATTAAGGTAGCATTCAGACCGTTTTTCAAATGTGCATTATCATGTTTTGTGTGTAATCAATATGGTACTATTTATGCTATTTGATTTCAAGCGTAATAGCGTGTTTGGTTTAGGGGAAGAATGGAGGGAAAGAACTGGGAAAGGGAAAGCAGAGAGGAAGGAGCCCCCAGTTATGTGAGGGAGAGGGAGAGGGAGAGGGAAAGAAACGGAGGGAGGAGCTCTCCTTCCACCATACGAGATTCTCTTCTGCTCAAAAGGGGAATGATTTCGACTTTTTCCCGATATATACACTTAAACAGTTTTTTCTGTTTTATATATATTTATGTGCATAATGCATATGTATTATTCATATATATATATATATATATATAGGAACATAAATTCTCGAAGGATATTGCAATAAAAAGACTATTAGCCCTTCTTGTGCACATTTTATTCCTACTCAATCGATTAATATGAGGGATAGATTCGTTCATTTCCCTAGGTGTACCTCTTTTTTCCCTTTTATCTTTCCTTCCGCTCACTTTCTTTGCACTCAATCAATTTTTCATCCTTAGCTTGTTACTCTTCTAATGGCCAATTATCATCCATCAAGTCTTTGTTCAAATATAATGTTCTTTCCAATGAATTTATTTATAAAATAATGTAATTTATGGATTGATCGAACATTGGTTGGCTTTGGACCTATAATTAACTTATATAAATTAAGATCTGTTCTATGTGGTATCCTTCCGCACATTTTATTCCTACTCAATTAATATGTCACTATTATGGTGTGATCATCAGATCCCATCATCAGTGAAGTTATCAGATCCCATCATCAGTGAAGTTTTATGTTCGTTAGCAAAGTCAGATATTAGTCTAGAACTGAATACTGTGTTCCTCAAGTTTTTATGGCATAAACAATAATAAAAATATTTTTAACAGATCATACTGAAATTTTGTTGCAGCACAATCTCCGCCTCGTTTTGTTTGTGATCAATAAATATTTTCAAGAGTTTGCGAATGGCCCAAAATTCCAAGACCTCTGTCAAGCAGGAGTGAAGGGTCTTATCACTGCCATTGATCGTTTTGAACCAAAAAGGAGGTTCCGGCTCTCCACCTATGGTCTGTTTTGGATCAGGCATGCCATCATACGATCCATGACGACCTCAAGTTTTACACGCGTTTCCTTTGGCCTTGAGTCGGTATGTTAAATCATTTTATCTGCTTCACTTTTATTCTTTATTATTGTTCTACAATAACACATTGATGAATATAGATTCCTTTGTTCTTCATTTTTTTTATCCGAGCAGTTGGAGTTATAGGACAGTCTCATTATTTGGAAATTGATGTCGCAAGTAAGACTCTTTGGAATTGATTGGATAATTGTATTTTAAGATTTGGCCTGAAATATGGGAAGTAATGCCATAACTAAAAAATTTTGTCCCTCTTTTTTGTTTATTTCGATATTTTCCGGAGTGGTGTTTGCATGCTTGTAAAGGAAAAGATGCATGTGATTCTGGTGACATTGTACAGAAAATTATTTTCTTAGTGATTTTCATGTGATGCATTGTTGTAGTGACATGCCATAAGAAGTGATGAAGTTTATGGATGCCTTCGGTTAGTATAAACATGTAGGAACTTTAATGCTTTCAATTCCGCAGGTTAGAGGAGAAATCCAACGAGCCAAGCTTGAGTTGCTGTTTGAGCTTCAAAGGTTACCAACAGAGGAAGAGATAATAGAGAGAGTTGGAATCTCTCCCACAAGGTACCATGAAGTGATGAGGGCTTCAAAACCCGTCTTCTCTCTCCATACAAGGCATGCAATTACACAGGAAGAATTCATCAGTGGAATCACTGATGTTGACGGTGTTGGAGGCAATAAGCGTAGGCAACCTGCTCTTCTCAGGCTCGCTCTTGATGATGTGGTAAATATTTCCCTCCTCAACCTTGCAGCTGTTCTTCTCCTTTTATTAATTGGCTGTTAAGTATCTTAATATCATTCTTCTAGTTCATTGAAAGTTTATTAAATTGGGTGGTAATTTCTTAGTTTTAAAAAGAGCAGCTTCTTGCTCATTTAGAGGAATACAGAACAGGCGGGAACCTAGGTCTACTATTAATTATTTCGGCACATCTTTTCTGAAAAATTAGAAGCTAAAATGCTATCCTATTTGACAAATTAGTTGATAATAGAACTTCTAAACTGCCTCTACACATCTTTTCTCAGCTTGACTCTCTGAAGCCTAAGGAGAGCTTGGTCATTAGACAAAGATACGGGCTTGATGGTAAGGGCGATAGAACACTGGGTGAGATTGCAGGAAACTTGAATATATCAAGAGAAATGGTAAGGAAACATGAAGTGAAGGCCCTCATGAAGCTCAAGCATCCAGCTCGAGTGGATTATCTTCGCCGATATATTTTTTAAAGCATTTGGGTTTCTTGTTGATATTTATCCCTCCCATCATCACTCTTCAATCACCAGTTGTCTCCATGTCATTGTTGTATACTATTGATCTGTATATATAGTTCTGTAACTACACGAGCATAGAAACGGCATACCATGTGATCTACATTTGAGGATTCAACGCTGCTAATCGCCAAATACATACAACTTTGTAATCCCCCCTTTTTAACTTTTCTTATAAAGATGAAGATCTTTTAATATAGTCACAATACTAATCACTTTGTAAGGTTGATGCTTTTCATACCAACCTGTGGCCCTTCTTTTTCCCAGTATGCAGACATGCATACTGGTGCTTGCTATTATCGCTGCAATATCTTCACGAATGGCCTGTCATGTTTGCAAAATCATTACAAAGCATTGGTTTTTTATTATTGGCTTCTTGACTTTCACACTAATTTCATTCTTCCTGGATTGAGATTATTCTTATTACCATTTTGTAAATTTCCACGATGACACGCAGAAGCCAGAAAAGAAAACCCGAAAAGGACAGTACAGATGAAGAGAAGCACCGTGAAACCTGTGAAAGGTTCTCAAGCATTAGCAAGTAGCACAGATGAAGTTAACAAGAATTGGTTCACGGCTGGAATATATGCCTATCTAGATTTCTGTAGAATTGTGATTCTGGAAGTAAGTGAATTGATTCAGAAAAATAAATAAAGTGAAATGCTCATAGAGGATAGCCTAAAGTTGCCTTAACACTTGATCGTGTCTCTTTTGCACCCAAAATCTTAAATTGGTCACCAGGGAAAGTTTTTTCAGGACTCCAATAACAATTTTCTTTTCTTTTCAATTTTTTTTTTAATTTTATTTTTTCTAAATTTTCATGATAGTGCATTTGTCATTTTCAATGGAGGAAGAAGGAGGATGCTCTGTTTACAATGGCACTGATGCTTGTTATAAAATTTTGATGGTGTCCAATGAAGAAAATAATCTAAAATTTACAATCTAACAGTGTTACTCATGTTTTATGATGAGTAAGTTACTCCAACATTCTGATATGTCTATGGGTAGAATGATTCAGGGTATTATAACTGCTCTCTAAGTATGAAAATCATGGGTGGAAATTTTAACCAACTAATGAGAGAACAACAGAGGATGTCATGAAAATCATGGGTGGAAAGATTATATTCACTCATTTATTTATTTATTTTTGGTTAATTAGAATGGACTATATACAATAGGAGAGGGGTCTACTTCCTACCCATAAACCATCCTCACCCTATATCCACTTTCCTAGAGGAGCAAGAGATACCATCTTATTTTTAAAAAGCCTGATGGCAAGTGGATTAGATAAGAAGAGAAAGGGATTGCAAGTGCGGTGTTGTCCGAGTGGTTGGGTTATTCTAATCTAACTATTACAAGAGACCTCGGTCACTTCCCCAAAATGCAAGCTTAATGGGTCACATTGTGTGACTCACATTAGAACTTGAAATTTGAATCTTAATGCAAAAATATTATCTTTAAAGCATTTGAAAATAAATCACAACTCACAGAGAACAGAGGCTATGGTTTGGTATAAGTTGTTAAAAGTTTGGACTGTCGTGAGTGATTACATTTGTAAATTTGACAACTAAAAAATTGTGTAATTGTGTGGACAAATTGGGTGTAATAGAACAAATCCCATTTTGTATACTTTTTTGAAGTGCTTGTTTGTTGGATAAGGTTCTTGGACATGTTCCATTGACTATAGAATCAAATAAACTACAGTGCATTAGTCTCCCTGCTAAAGCCAATCATTGATAATGTTGCACATTGAGTGCTTGTTAGTTAAGGGAAAATACTCAAGACTTCTTGTTACTCTGACTAGTGACTACCAAACAAGACTAAAAAGGGAACAATTCTGACATGGTTGTTTTCTAAGGTTACGCGGGTTACGCGTTTGTCATCTACCACAAAAATTTAAGTTATTAGACGATGCTATATACCTGTCCTTAGCTCATCCAATGCGTGACAATAACTTCTAGCACTAATCCTGAGAGAGTTAGGTGGATGGACTTAAATATAAAATCTAACCTTTAGTGTTACCTCTACAAAAAATGATTCTTCTCAAAATCATTTTAGATGTTCATTGCATCACTCCTTTTTGCCATGCACCTATCAGAGTTTGGAAATTTTATCCGTGTTGGCAAATCTTATCTTATTTGCACCCACCTCATCATCATGTCACATTTTATTCATATATTCTCCAAAGTAAGGCTAACATCTATCAGAGACAATGGATTACATCTTAAGGGCATATTTTCCAACCAAAAAATTTGAACTTGTATAGGTGATTTGAATAGGTTAGCTTCTTGTTTACTTCTTCATCTTCCTTTTTTCCCTCAAGTTTCAGATACTATAAGTGATCCTTTTTTAGTTTTTATTTGTTTTTTCCATGAGCTTGAATATCATATCCTTTGTTCTTCTCTTGTTATTGCCTCAGGATTCATCACTTGACAATTTCTCTGTACACAACAGTAGACAGATAATTCCTCAAAAGTTATCACGAACATATTACAACCAGGGCTTGGTGGTTTCTCCGCTCCTTTCAAGAGAGTTCTCCCAAGAGCATTGTGGGCGTTCGACCAAAAAAAAAAACTATGTGGAAACTAACAGAAAATATTATTTAGGCTTGTCGGAGATAGGAATGTCAATTTTTACCGCTCCGCCGGGGCCCCGCCTCGTCCCACCCCGTTAATAACGAATATGGGAACACTTGTTATACCGTTGGGGCGGACATGGATATAAATTTTGTACCCGTCGAGGGTCACGGGGCGGGTAAAGGTTCAATATACATATCTTAGGGGCCCCGCCCCACCCCGCCCCGCATATAACTATATTTAATATATATATATATATATATATATATTAATAAGTTATTTTAGCGGCTTACCCAATTATCCATCTCTTACAATCCTAATTTGGGATGTAAACTTGGTATTAAATTTGCTTTTGTTTTGGTTATGGTGGAAGTTGGAGCTTAGAACTTCTTGTGATTTGGTTGTATTAAACTTTTATTTTTGTTTATTATGTTCTCTGAATTATGTTATGTGCATGTTATTTTTTTTATTTTTATCAGGATACATAATTTTATTTATGTTGTGTCATTCCTAGGCTTTGCACATTTAAATAACAGGAGTTTAAGTTCCAAAAAGTGGGAAAAAAAATTTGTTAGTGGGGCAGGCACGGGGGCACAGTATTTCCTAACGGGGCGGGGTTGGATATAAAAATCCAACCCGTCGCGGGTCTCGGGGCGGGCATGGACTTGACAAAAATTAAAAGGGGCGGGGCGGGATTTAGGAAAACCCGCTCCAAACCCGCCCCGTTGCCATCCCTAGTCGGAGATATGGAACTGTCTAATCAATATCAAACTTCAAATTAGAGTTTTAGTCTGCTTCTTTTTAAGAGAAAGAAGAATTTGCTGATTATACACTTTGTATCCAATTGACTTGACATTTGTCATGCATAACAATACAGTAAATGTATATAGACAACAGACTTAATTTCACAGACTTTTTCTGAAGGCCCAAGGGTGCAAAATCCCTTCCTGTCTCACGGTGATCCGGTTCCATCCGGTGTCAAGTAAGTGGCTATGAGAGCGCCACGTCAATTAAAAATACAACAAGCTCCTTGAAAAGGAATGATGATGCCTAATGAGGCTCCTAAAATGTACCACGTACCAAAAGAAATTTTCAATCAGAGACTTTAGTGTTGATAATTTCATCTAACATTTACAAATAATATCCATAATGGAGGAACATTCAAGAACCAGAACCATTAGAATAAAGCATCAGAATGGGTAGTGTTTTTTTGAGGATATAGAATTTTAACATATGTTTGAAGCAAGAAACGATGAATGGGGGGACAATTGAAAGAGATGCTGACGTCACCATCATAGCAAATGGCATTGTTCCATCAAAGGTCTGGTACTGCTTTCTTCATTGAAAAAGACATTCTTAAAAAATTCCACTTTCATATATGTTTTGACTGCCAAACAATTCACTCAATTGGCCTTCAAAACGAATTCAAGACCGTTAGCTAGCTATAACATACATGGTTACCGGGACAGAATATATTTCTGGTATCTCTTACAAGCCAAACGCTAAAATGTTTCAGCCAGAATAATTTTGATTCCATATGTTGCATGAATTCTTCTTCCCTTGTCCTTAGAACAATTGGGACGAGTGAAAGCTTTGTTTATTCTCTAAAAGTGTGTTTGATGCACTTCACTTTTTAATCTTTCGCAGTAGAAACAAGTTCTTTGTTCAAAATTTACCCAACTCACTCCATACATGTAAAGATAGTATTTTTTATTTTTTGTTTTTAATTTATGGTGTTGGTAAACACAATATATATTTGGATATTCTGTAATAAACAGTGGATAAATCTTAAAGAAGAATAGAACAGAACTGATCATGTTTCACAAAATGTTGTGTGTGTGTGTATATATGTAATAAAAGGGAAAATAGATATCTTTGGGTTCATTGAGAATGTGTTTTGACAATAGTTTGGCAAGAAAAGGAAATTACATCTAATATTAACTATTATCAATAGGGAAAGCCAATGATCTAAAAGATTTGCATCAAGTGGGTAGTGGAAGTCTTGTGATATCTTCCACTCACAGATCACAAGAGAACTATGACAGCAAATAATTCTCTCCGTGTTGTTCCCGTCTCTTCTGTCGTATTATCGGATAAAATGAGTTATGGAGCATTTGCATGCATTAAACAAATTGAAGCAAATGCCCAAGATTAGAGCCAAGTTAATTTTCCTCCACTACTTGTTGAAGACATAGACAGCACTTCCTTTCTCTCTTTCAATTTTTTATTTTTATTTTTAAATTTATTCTCTTTTTATCCTTCTCTGCACTATTTATATCCCCTGAAGGATGCCAAACAGTTCAGGCGTTCTTAATTAGTTCTTTCAAGGTCTGCTCTAAGGACCATTCCTGCCCTCTGCTCAGACCCGTTAATTTTTTTTTTCATTTTAGTGCAAAATCATGGGGGATAGGCTGCGTTTGGCTGTTGGAGTAATGGGTACTTACTATATTGCTTATCTTGTTTAGCTCGTATCACTATTCATAACCAAATTTTTACTTTCAAATGCCCTAAAAACTATCAAACTTGCATGTTGCTTCTTGCAGGGAATGCGGCTTCGATGTTACTTTATGCTGCTCCCATGTAACGTCAAGTTCTTCATTTGTTTTGCTTATGAATTCAAACTCATTCAACTATATTTTTTTTAACCCTAAGCTTATAATTTCTTTTACTCTTGTCAGACTAACTTTTTCAAGGGTCATAAGGAAGAAAAGCACTGAGGAGTTTTCAAGCGTTCCGTACATCCTTGCACTATTCAACTGTTTCCTCTACACTTGGTATGGCTTGCCTGTAGTAAGCTGCGGGTGGGAAAATTTCCCTCTGGTCACCATTAATGGCTTAGGAATTCTTCTTGAGATTTCCTTCATTCTCATATATTTTTGGTTTGCTCCAGCCGGAGGAAAGGCAAGCTAGCTGTTTCTCCACTACGCGTTTCTTTGCACATGTATATTTATGTCACTTGTTGCTGAAGAAATATGAAAGAACACTAATTGATGTAGCATGCATGCATGCATAAATTTATCTGAAAACTCATAGTAATATTTAGATATCGTAATGCTGCAGAAGAAGGTTGCTATGACGGTGATACCTGTTACCGCTGTGTCCTGCATCACCGGGATAATATCAACTTTCATATTCCATGATCACCACAGGCGAAAGGTATTTGTTGGGAGTATAGGACTCATAGCCTCTGTAGCAATGTATGGCGCTCCTCTAGTGGTTGTGGTAAGTCATCTTTCCCCACAACTAATTTGCATTTCTTGTAAATTAAAGTGGCCTAATTTGGAAGCAAGGGAAAAAAAATATTGTTCATGCTTAGTTATAACACATGGAGAAGCTAGTTGTATTATTTAGATCATATATTCGCATACAAGTTCATTATATATATCTGAAGCTTAGCACATTAATATATATGATTCATAATTGCAGAAGAAAGTTATACAAACCAAAAGCGTGGAATTTATGCCGTTCTACCTCTCTTTTTTCTCATTCCTAGCAAGTTCACTTTGGATGGCCTATGGACTACTAAGCCATGACCTTTTTCTTGCGGTTAGTGTGATAGTCCAAACTTGAAAGCTGAAATTGTGGTTCAATATATATATATATAAGGATTTTAATTTAACTTGATTTTTTTTTTTGTTTTTTGGCAGTGTCCTAATCTGGTGGGTAGCCCTTTAGGTATCCTCCAGCTTGTGCTCTATTGTAAGTACAGGAAAAGGGGAATTATGGAGGAACCACACAAATGGGATATCGAAAACAATAATGAGGATAAACTCAAACAAGAGTTGCAGCTCAATGTTACTGACAATACTAATGGAAAGACTTAGAAGAATTTTTTACACGAACAAGGTCTACTTGGATTCTCTTTAACCTTCTATAGCAACACGAACAATTTGAGCTGCTGCTAATAACTAATGCACGCATGCATGCAGCTACAATTTACTTGCTTGTGGCAGGGAAACTTTATCTGAGTGGGTGGTAATTTTCAGTGACTCATAAGGAGGAAATAGTATTAGCTACTAAAGTTATTCTTCTGATAAATGTAGAACAATTATCAATGAAACTTTTCTTCTTGACAACATATTTTTTCACTTTATTTTGAGTAATGTGACTTTCAAACTCACGTTTTCATCATGTTTGTGACCTGAACTTTTAATACTGTAGCAACAAGCAAGCAATGATTTGTAAATTTTAATTATTGAATCAATATCACAAGCAACTAGTCTGCAAGTATTTCAAAACTTCAGATGCTTAATAACTTCGAAAAACTAATAGACTCATCTGATATGTTGAAGAGAAAACAATGGCCGAAGTTGGATTCCAAGTAATTCTATGGAAATTGAATGAAACTAACATTACAAAATTGAGAAACCCATAAAACAAATTTAATATATATATATATATATATAGTCGTAACATTACTTGATGAACAGATGTCCATGCCTAAGGTGTGGACATCAATCTGCTATCTTACTCATCAGATCACTTCCATTAGAAAACAACCCACTAGAAAAAGATGGAAAAAAAAGCGTGCTAGGTTTGGTGTTTGCATTTGTATTCTTATAAACGAGCATAATTATATTTATGCTTATCCACCAGTGGCTTTTTATCATTTCTATTTACATACATCACAACCACCTTTTAATATTTGTTACAACAAACCCCGCAAACCAGTGATACAATCAAGAAATTGACCCAAAAAAAAAATAATAATAATAAAATAAATAAATAAATAAATAAGCATGCACTACAGAGAATACAAAAATTTATGTAGTTCGGGATAAGGCTGATCTCTATGGCAAAAAGATTTTACTATGCAAAAATATCAAGCCCCCCAACACTCAAACGGTTAATTACACCACGCAACCTAACACGCTCTATATTATGTTACAAGAAAGTTTACAACTCGAATCCACGAAATGGGTCAAAACAAGACTGAAAAAAAAAAATTTCCGGCCACAACTTTTTATTTTTTATTTTTTCTGACAATGGTAGTGTCAAAACTGGCAGAGCACCCTTTAATCCACCACCATCTTACACATGCACTTGCCCATGGTTACTTCATAAGACAAAACCCCAAAACAGAGGCAACAATTAAAACAAAACCTTAAACCCCCAAAGAGAAGATGATCAGGTGCTCTTACCTCATAAGACAATGACCCGATTTGTGGCTGCCAATAAAGCAAAAACACAACAACATTAGCATCATCATCCATCATTATGATCATCATTAGGCATAAGAAGAATAAATTATGAATAATTGCACTTTTAATTTGTTAAGCATAAAGCATAAGGGATGACGAAAAGAATATGTGCTTAAGAGAACCAATCCAACATTTACAAATGCTAATCAGCTGTCACTATCCAATGTATGTGATTGCTGATTCACCACCATGCAATTTGTAGAACCAAAGTACGTCCTACGTTTCTAAGACTCTTCTGTCAAACTGAGAGTGGACCATCAGAACCCACACCATATTCCCACCATTTCTGAATCATCACTGCAACTTAGCACACAATCGACAGCTTGGATTTGGGTTTGGAAGAAAGCATTGTCGTTTTGTTTTTTATATTTAAAATTGAAAAGATATTACATCTTCCAAGCATTTAAACGAGATATTTCAATATGTAAAATCATTTCTATTTTCTTCATATTACCTTCTAACGGCTTTGTTATTGAACATTTAGCTGTGTCAGAGTTCTCTAAATTTCTAAAAACTGAATCAAGTCACTCCACATAGATTGTCCAAGCATTTGAATCAATTTGGAACAAAAAGTAAAAAGGACAACTAAAAGGGAATATTAGTCAAGTTGCTGCATCATTCCATTGTATTCCACTAATCCAAGATAAAAATAATAATAATAATATTAAAACACAGGCATCACTTCACAACATTTAAAAAATAAATAAAAAAAACTAAACTCAAAATTCATATCAACAGTCCACGGGGAAAGAAATACAAACCTGTGCAAAACTTCAAAAGAACAGAAAAAAATTCTCCATGAAAAGGGACATTCTAGTACTTCCATTTTAACATCAAAAGTAATTTTATAAGTGCATCATTGCACTTCTTCTAAGTTTGTTGGCACACTTTCTACACCCATACATTCAGTAGACAAATGTGCTCCGTACAGAACAATGAGATTTTCCAAGAACAGTAGAAAAAAGAAATAAATTAAAGGTCAAAAAGAAGTTTGGCATAAAAAGAAAAAGAAAAAGAAAAGAAAAAAGAACAGCATTGAAGTGCTTGGATCATGGAGACATCAAACTGACCCAATGAAACTACAACATAGAAACCAAAGAGGCATATGAGATGAAGAAATACAGAGAAGGAGATGAACCTTTGATGCCCTTCGTATATTAAGTGATTTCTAAGTCACACAATGATCTTTTGTTAGTTCTCCAAAATTGGGATCTAGATCTTATAGTTAAAAAAATTTCATCTACAAGATTCATCTATAAGAGAATGTTGCCCTCTGAATATAACCACCTCTCTATAGAAACACAATCAAACTGAATACTAGAGTTTACATTTGTTGTTAGATGCTCCAAAGTTGTAAAAATTACATTGCTATGTGGATGGGTTCTATCCCCTATAGAGAACACATGAACTCTGTTATTTAGCTCAATCCAACTGCAACCTGGATCCTTCTTCACTTCCAAGCCCCTCAATCTCTTCCTAACCTTCATCTTATCTTCCCACCTTCCCAATCTTGCATATATGTTAGACATGATAACATAAGCAGTAACAGGCTGGGGTTCCAAATTGAACATCTTCTCAGCCACTCGCTCACTCATTTCCATGTCCATCCACAACCAACAAGCATTGAGCAATGCCCCCCATACCACCATATCTGCTTCAATTGGCATCTCTTTAATAAGATCCTCGGCTTCTTGTAGGTGGCCTGATCGACCAAGAAGGTCCACCACAGATGTATAGTGTTCTAAGGTTGGGGTTACATTATAACATTTTTCCATCAAGCGGAAATATCTCATCCCCTCAGTGACCAAACCAGCACGAACGCAAGCAGACAAGACTCCAACAAAAGTTGCTGCATTTGGATCTACTCCTTGCTCTAACATATGGTTGAAGAGTAAGACTGTCTCGGAGTAAAGCCCATGATGTGCACACCCATTAATCAGAGCTGTCCAAGCTGCCACATTTGGAGAAGAGATGTTAATGAATGATTTTTGAGCATCGCTGAAGTTCCCACATTTGGAGTACATATCTACAAGGGCTGTTCCGACAAAAACATTAGATTCAAATGGCGTTTTAATTAAATGAGCATGCAGTAATTGTCCCTGTTGAAGAGATCCAAGGCATGAACATGCGTGAAATAGAGCAGAGAAAGTTGATCTAGTTTGACTTATTGATAACCTTCGCATGGTCACATATAATCTCAATGCCTGTTCATGTTGAGCAACTTGAATATGACCTGAGATCATTGAATTCCATGTCACAGGATTTCTTTCCCCCTTCGTTTCTTCAAAAAGTTCCAAAGCTTTATCAATCTCACCATTCCTGGAATACACTGAAATCATAGTATTTGAGGATGCTATTGTCCTTTGTGGCATTTCTAGAAACAACCTTTCTGAATCACTGACTCGGCCATTTACTGCATACCCTTTGATCATCAAATTGTATGAGACCTGGTTTTTCTCTACGAGTGCATCAAAAATTCCCTCTGCATCATCAACCTTACTCATCAATAAAAACCCTTTAATTAGCGAATTTGATGCATTTAAGCTTGGTTTAACGAGTCCATCATAAATTCTCTTGGCATCATCCATGGCTTCGCAATTACAATAAAAATCAATTAGTGCACCGCCAATTGAGTGTTCAAATTCAAGCCCATATCTTATCAAAAGCCCATGGACAACGCACCCTTTTTGCAAATCACCCAGTCCACCACAAGCTCTGAGAACACAATCCAACGTGAACTCATTTGGTGCTACCTCACCCATCTCTCTCATCGACCAAAACAAGTCCAAAGCCTTCTTGTAATCATTCTCGCTCTTTGAATAACCTGAAATCATTGTAGTCCATCCAACAACATCTCGTGTTGGCATTTTATAAAACAAATCCAACGCATCATTTGTTAAGTTGCATTGAACATAACCCACAAGCATTAAATTCCACAACAACTCATTGCTTTCGTGCAGGACACCAAACACCCGCCTTGCTTCTCCAATTTCAAAGCAACTCGCATAAAAATACAACAAAGCACTCCCTACGAGCTTGAAAAACTCCGATCCAGACTTCAAAACAAGACCATGAACTTGTTTACCATCACGTAACGAACCCAAACGAGCACAAACACTCAACACCGAAGAAAAAGATGTCTCGTTGAGCTTCATGTCGGTACGGTGCATAGCAGAAACTAGAGAGAGGGCTTCATTGAATCTTCCCCATTTGGAGTATCCAGAAATCATAGTGTTCCATGAGACAACGGTTCTTTCACGCAATTCGTCGAACAAGTTTCGAGCAATGACAAGTTGGCCGCATTTGGCATGCCGGGTTATAGCAATGTTCATGGAAACTACGTTGGTGTAACGATGATAGAATTGATTGTGGCGTAGGGTTGAATAAAAGTTGAAATTCTTCTTCCATCGGTGACGCTTCCAGGTTTCCCAAAATGACAATTTCACGATCATTTGATATATATGGGAATTTGTTTGATTTAGAACCAGTTCTGTTAATGGATTTTAGTTACCGCTCTTAGCATTGTTTGGGACCACTGGGTGGTTCAAAGTCTGGAGTATGAGCAATGTAAATATATAAATGGTTTGCGTTCGTCATAGATATGAACAGTAATGTAATGCAAGCAGTTTACAGTAAAACGGCCCCAGTTGTGAGGACTGTGGGAGACGATTGACCAAATCGCACATAGATGTGCTTTTATTATGTGAATTGGCTGAAGTTTAGTGCAAGGTTATATGAGTCATTTGGGCATTTTACCAGGTGACTCAAGTTGCTAGGGCGTCCTGTATTGAAATATACTCCATAAAAAATAGTTATTTGAAAGTTAAAAAACAAATATTAAAAAAAAAAAAACAAACACTACGTAACTGTTACCAACAAGCTCAATTTTCTTTAATTTTCGCATATTTTAATTTTGACTCTTACCAACAAAAAAAATAAGAGTGGAAAAAACACTTTGATCTGTGTTGGTACTTGGTGTTATTTTATGTTTTTAAAATAAAATTTTGGAAAGGTGCGATTGTTAATTTTTTATTTATTTATTTATTTATTTATTTTTTCTTTCTGATGTACTAATTTATGTTTTCGGACATTTTTACCCTGTGCTAAAATACGCTACCATGTTAGACCTACCCCTTTCTGCTAACATCCGCTGGGTGCGCTTATGCACGCTCTATCCGTCGACAATTTTCGTCTAATCATCCTCACAGCCCCGATAAGAGAATTCTATTTGTCAGCTTTCTTTCTGTTCTGTCCTCTTTTGAACCCTAAATTTGATAACTCCAACGCTTGTAAGTTTTGTTCCATAACCCAGGTATTGTATTCAATCCTCTGATTCCACTGCTTTGTTCTCCTCATTTGCCCTAATTATTGCTTTCGTGATCCGAGTACAATCCGAATGTCTTGTTTAGTCTGTCGAATCTTCCCTCCCTCTCTCTAAACATGAATCGTTGTTGATGAAATTGATTAGTGCCTTGTTTCTGGCAATTGAAATCATGCATCGATTACTCGTTATTCTTTTAATATATATATGTATGTGTGTGTTTGTGTGTAGATAAATGTGTTGACTGCCGATTCATATCGAAGTTGATTTATTTTCTGAAAAGTGAGTCATTTCCATAGATTTGTGTTGCTCGTTTACTATCTGAAAATAAATAATTTAATGGCTTTTGGTCAAATAATTTGGATTTAATTCCGTCATTTGTCTTCATCTTCATATCATACCTGCGTTAAATTTTTAGAAAAAAATAGTCATGCTATTCAAGTGAAGAAGGCGACGCAGCATTGAAATTCTAATGTGTTAAAAATAGTTTATGAGATGTATGGTATGAAATGATGGTCCTAGATAGAGCAGAATGGCAAAGCATGATACATTTGCATCTAATCCCTTGGTAAGCAGGACACACAGTAAGATACTTAATTACTCTTACAATGATATGAGACCAAATTTTAAAGTTAAGCATTATGGTCATAAGATTGTGTTTTTTGGATGGTGTACTTTACTGTGGAATTAGATTGTTCTATATGAGTGAAATGGCTTCGTATCTTATTGGGTTCTCTCGTAGGTTGGGTTTATTGTGCGGAATGGCATCTGTGTCTAGTCAGCCCCAGTTCCGTTACACACAACCACCTTCCAAGGTACTCCATTTGAGAAACTTGCCATGGGAGTGCACAGAGGAGGAACTAATTGAACTTGGGAAACCATTTGGAAAAGTTGTTAATACAAAGTGTAATGTCGGAGCAAACAGAAATCAAGCCTTTATTGAATTTGTAAGTGTATTTCCTTTTTTTTTTTTTTTTCTTCCCGAGTTTTGATTTTATCAGCTGATTGATATTCATATTTTGTATCTCTTAATATTTTTTCAGGCAGAATTAAATCAAGCTATTGCAATGATATCGTATTATGCTTCATCCTCCGAACCGGCTCAGGTACGAGGGAAAACCGTCTACCTACAATATTCCAACAGACAAGAGATAGTGAACAACAAAACTACTGCAGATGTTGCTGGAAATGTACTGTTGGTAACGATTGAGGGTACTGATGCTCGTCTTGTCAGCATTGATGTCTTACACTTGGTGAGTAATTACATGCCTTCCTCATGGTTACAAGAGGTAAAACTGGTCAGTCAAAGGATGTTACTGCAGTTACTATGATTAGATTGTAGTAGCTTGATAAAAAAAATGCTTTGTAAAGCTTTTGTTTGACATGAATGTGAATGAATCAGCAGGCCCATATCAAGGAAATATCTTCGATGGCAGCTTAATGCATCGGGAGAAAGAGCGCATATGTGTTTGTCTCCTTTCTCCTTTGCTTAACACTCGCTCTTTCTTCCCTTCTTCCTCCTTAACCTCCTTTCCCTTCATTCTTAAATTGGTGTCCCTTTATTTTGTACTTTCTCTATGATGGAATGTCTTTTGTAGCTTAATTATTCATGATTCAGTTTTTGGATAAATTTGGTTCTTTGCCTTAACTAATACGATCCCTATAATTATGTCATAGTTTAGGGTTTTTTTTTGGTTCTAGTTAATTATTAGGGTCAGTTTTGTGTATCAGAACTGTGCTCATACTGAAACTGAAGAAGGCCTTGGGTTGCTTGGTAATTAGATAAACCCATTCCACTAATTTTCTTGGGGGTTTTAATTTCACAATGTTTGGCAAACATGAAGCTGTGTGGTGGTTCAAATCCATTTTAAAATTCTGAGTATTGCATCTGAATTGGCATTAAAATCTTAAGTTGCTTTTCTTTTGCAGTAGATAGCAAGAAAAATGATGAAGCATGATTTATTTGACAAAATATTGATTTTCTCTCTATTTTGAGGATTTCTTGTTGTAACTTAATCCATAATTTCTCTGCTTTCCCATTGCATACCCATTGATTCTGGTGAGTTAAAGTGATTGGTTTGACTTCTTAAGCCTTTTGCATTGTATATTTATTTGGGATGATAAGACCATCTTTGCACGCATCAAATATTGTTGTAGATTTAGGTCACATGAGAGGAGTTGTGCATGGTTGGCAGTAGCAACGCAAAAGCTGATCGGGCAAAAGTTGTATTAGGGGAGCTTTAGGGTGCCTGAAGTAAACTTATTGGACTTTCAAAATTGATTCATTATGTTATAGGCAGTACGGAACTTATAACCTTATTTATTTCTTGAAGTTTTCTTATATTCTAAAATAATATAATTATGAATCTTGTTGCCTGTCATTCCACCACCGATTCACCTTTGAATGCCAGCATGATACTGTTGCTATAATTGTCTTTAGAATTTTCATCCAGACACCAGAGCAAGCAGCATCACATTCCTCACTTATAACTAATAGCTGCTTTTAGAAATTTTCTTAATGCTATTGTCGAAGGAATTTTGCTGCACCTCAACTTTGGACAATGAAACTTGGAGTTACATGCTCTTTTGTTCAATTTAATAAATCAAAATTTATATTTTTATTATTATAACTGGGCTCTAACCAAATCTTATTATTTAAATAAAAGGTTACTTGTGTTATTGTGTTCAACACATGATAACACATGTAACAGCTCGTCAAATTTTATTTCTTTTTTTGAAAAATCTTTTTGAAAATGATATTTTTCAATGTTGATTTTGAATCTTATGGGGTCTGGCAAAGAAAAGAGATCTAATGATGCATTGTTTATCTCACCACTATGGTTTCAGACGGTTGCTCTTCTAAGATTGAACTTCTACCGATTAAGCCTTAGGAAAATGTTTGCTTTTAGATTGTATATCTCGCTAGTGTTACTGTTGTGGGATTATATCAGATAAAGGGAAAGAGATATGCAAGGAATCTGGTGAGTTTGCAGCAGGCTTATTTTTGTTTGCTTTTTCTGAAGTTGGAATTTAGTGTTCTCAATATGGGCTACTGAGGAATCATATATATATATATATTTTTAATTTTTTTAAATTGTAGATTAGAGCAGGCCTTTATGTTGTGTGCTGTTTGGTTGAGAGAGAATAGAAGAGGATGATCTGTTAATGTGTTATAGATGATGTTTGAGTTCGAGAGTTACTTCAGATGATGAAAAGCTGCTGTTTTGGAGAAATTAAAAATGATTATATGTGAATAGTAATGCAGTTGTGGGAGTATGCATATATCTTTTGGTAGGATAAAAATGATGCTTGGAGAGAAGGAATTTCTGATGGCTAATCCTACCATTTTAGACAGGGAACTTCCTTATTTATGGAAACCATGCAATTCGGGAGTGCCAATGTGTCAGGCAAGTACTTACTGTGGTAACTGAAGTACTTCTTGTTAAATGCTACTAAATTAGAATATGAATTACTGATGAGACGTGATTGAGTTTTACATTAACCAACGGATGATGACATTGCTGACATATATGATCAGCTAGCCTAAGATGCTGAGCCTGAAGAGAACCTGCAGCCTTGGTAGTTTTGTCAAAGAAACTGTTTAATCTTTTAAATAGAGAGGAGAAATTTCCAAGTTGGAAATTGGAAATTTTATTAGTTGATAGTGAAAGATGAAAGAGGTCTTTCTAGAGATCAAGGAATGATATAAATTTACCAATTATATTTTGAGGGTAAACACTAGAGGGGAAGGGGAAGACAAAAAGAACATGGTTGAGTTAGTGAGGAAAGACATGATAACATGTGGTCTGATTGTGCCTTTGACGTTAGGTAGAGCCATATGACCTAATAGGATTCATGTTGCCGACCCTAATAGTTAAAAAAACGTTTTTTTTTTTTTTTTGGTTTTTATTGTTGTTGTCGTCATCGTCATTGTATGGTAATGAATCTTGAATTTTTGAACAATTCTAGGATATTTCATTCGAGCAAGCTTAATGAGTTAGTGGTGTTATTGAGTGGGAGATCAATAAGTTGGTTCTTTTAATCCTTCTTTGAAAGTTTCATCACCAGATATATCTTTATTTGCTTCTTGTCTTGGTACTTTGCAGCTGGTTACAGGCGTGCAGATGTTAACCCTAGAGTAAGAATTTTGGCACCAACAGCTAAAAACGTTTTGGAAGTTAGGGAAGTTATTCAATTCACACGACTTTATGTGGACAAGATTTCCAAGTTGAAGGATAAAGTTAGCATTTATTAGGTTATTTAAGGTTCCCTTGATATGCTTCAATTGATTGATTTTTTAAAAAAAAAAAAATTATCACATGCACGTGTTACGATTTACTTTTGGATTTTATTTTTCAAATGTGAAGTGTTGTTGATTATTATATGAAATTGTCATATGAATGATAGACTTTGTCACTTCTGTTTGTTTGCACAAAAATTCGTACATTTGAAATGTTGTGGTCTCAGTCACTGCAATAATACTCCAAAGACATAAAGGACAGAAATTGCATTCCAAATTTGTAGGATGTAAATTTGTTAATATATGTATATTTATATATTTATATGTTGAAAGTTATCCCTGTTTTGCAGGTTTTTTCGGCCTTTGGATTTGTGCACAAGATTACTACCTTTGAGAAGACAGCCGGATTCCAGGTGTGTGCATTGTGCATTTGTGTAGGCAAGTTCTATTTGACTTCTTTAACTGGTTCTCTTTCCGGCCTTAACAACACCGATTCATTTCATATACAATTTTCATTTCAGGCTTTGGTGCAATTTTCCGATTCAGGAACTGCCTCTTCTGCTAAAGATGCTCTTGATGGTAGAAGCATTCCCAGGTGATCATTATACATTAGGGATCTAATAGAGGTGTACATGCATATGCCTTGCCTCATTGTTGCTCTCCTTCCCTTATAAGAAGCATGTAGTTTGTACATTACTTTGCATAATATTCACCAATTCTCCTACATATAGTTTGCCTGTATAATGATCAACTGACTTTCTGTCATTGGTATGCATCAGCTATTTGATTCCAGATCTGGGACCCTGCACCCTTAGGATCACATATTCTGCACACACGGATTTAAGTGTGAAATTCCAGAGCCACCGTAGCAGGTATTTGGTTTCTGATACTTATTCTATTCGGGTGTCCATGACTAGTCTGTGAAGAGTTTTGGAACATATGGTTTTCTTAAGTTAATGATTGTTTATTTTTGTGTGCATGATCCACCTTTTTTGCTGCATGGAGTTATAATTTTTTTTAATCATGCTTTGCATTGATTCAGGGACTACACTAATCCTCTACTTCCTGTTGCTCCCTCAGCCATAGATGCAAGTGGTCAGGTAAACAGTTGGCATTGACAGTTATGCTGGTCATATTGAACAGAGATCTGAGGTTGCCATAATGATTTTAAGTATGATCTACTGTGGTCAGTCAATTACACGTCGCCTGTAATCACATTTTGTGGACATGTTGGATCCACAGAGTTTATCATCTTTCTGCTCCTTCATGTGGCCTCTGATGTCTAGTATGACCATCTTAGTATGCATGCTTTCTCTAGGAATACTGAAGGCATATCCGATGCTCTCCAAAACAGTTTTGAATGATAATTAGATTGATGCATTAACTATCTTTCCTTTATGCACACAGTAGCCTGGTTATGTATAAGATGTCGTTTTGATACCTTTACATTAGACACAACAAAATGCAACTAATGGGATCATTATTCTTATACCAGCAATGCATGAGATTTCTGCATCATTTTATTGGAATTTACTGATGGTTCAAAATTTTGGTACTTTTATCTAAAGGCAGTCATTGGCATCACTGCAGGTCAGTTTGGGTTTGGATGGGAAAAAAATAGAGCCCGAGAGTAATGTCCTTCTTGCTTCCATTGAGAACATGCAATATGCGGTCACCTTGGATGTTTTGCACACGGTATCTGCCATTATTATAATGTAATTTTCTAGCATTCTCAGTTAACTATGCCTTCTTCATATTGATTATTTTTCTTTTTTCTTTCTTTTCTGGTTTTGTGTTCAGGTATTCTCTGCTTTTGGGCCGGTTCTAAAGATTGCCATGTTTGATAAGAACGGAGGAGTTCAGGCTTTGATTCAGTATCCTGGTATGGTTTAACCTGACTCTTTACTCTTGTGTTATTATTATTTGAAAAGTCCTTGTAGAAAGTGCAATCCAAGGCAGTAGCTCTGGTAGCTTAAATATGACTTTAGGAGGTCATGCAGTCCCCAAAATTACTCCACGCATGACATGCATTGCATTGATGTCTCTAAATCTATGACTCTTACTACTCACCAAAACCAATATTTTCTTCTTTTCTAAAGATGTTTGTTGGTTTCATTGTCATGCTGACATGAATTGCATTGATGTCTCTAAATCTATGACTCTTACTACTCACCAAAACCAATATTTTCTTCTTTTCTAAAGATGTTTGTTGGTTTCATTGTCATGCTTTTTTGGCGCTTAACCTTCTTAATTTCTTTGTTTTTTAAAATAATAGGACTCTTAACTGTCTACAATTCTATAATCCTATTGTTTGTTTTGTTGATGAGCCCTTTCATTCTAGGGGAAATCCATGAGATGCCTAGTGTAAGATTTAGTTTGAGAATGTAACATCTATCTTTTGTCTAAAGATTTTAAAGATTCTAAATGTTTTACACATACATGTTTACAAAGTTTTCTTGAGGTCATAAATATTTGTATGTAGTGCTCAATATTGTTCCTCTAAATCATTGCGGGCTTGCATTTGAAGCAAAATGTCCTAAAGGCTAAAGCAATCCCGTGCGTTATTTTAGAGAGAAGTGACAGGACCACATGCAAGGATATGAGTGTCCAATTACCTTTGTCATTAAGCTATCTCTTTCTTTCTTTCTTTCTTTTTTTTTCACATTATTTATTTTTATTTCTATTGTTATTATTATTATTTTTTAATCCTGGCAAGAAATTCTCGCACCCACGTTATCCCTATGGGGACTTGAACCATTGACCTTTTAAGGCAAAGAAGTACCACTAAGCTACAGCCATTGGTCAATGAAGCTATCTCTTTCAACGTCTGCATATTCCGTTCTATTTTTCTTTTTGGCATGTCAAATTGGGAGGGAAAACAGAAAACTAAGCAGTTGGTTGGGACTTTATAGTTCACACATTGGTGTGATCTAAGTTTATATAAAGTCGATCTGGATTGATTGTATTGATTTGTGTGTTGATGCCTGGATTTTCTTTATATATCTTGAAATATAATATATGACAGATTCTTTACAAATTGGTCACAATAAGAATTGGTGGCCTCGCCATTAGAATCTATGTTGCTTCTTGTCATATTTCTAAATGCTGACTAGTTACCTGAGGACAATTGCTGAACTCTGCTACCCTATGAATATGAAATCCATTGGATTGCTTTGGATTACACAATGCCTTGAGTTGGTTGTTAGGTTGTCAAAATGAGGTATTGATGATGCAATGGGCTTGCAGATGTTCAGACAGCAGTTGTTGCCAAGGAATCCTTGGAAGGACACTGCATATATGATGGAGGGTTTTGTAAGCTTCACATATCATATTCACGCCACACTGATCTCAGTATAAAGGTAATGTAGTGGTTCCCTCAGGTAAAAGTTTTAATTTTTATAATTCTTTCGTCATTCTTGGAAACTTTTTGCATCAAAATGACTACACATCTGAAATTGCATTTATTTGGTCTGTTCTCATTTCGCCGTCTCACAGGTTTGCTCTTGTAACTACTTTCCTTTATCAAAATACTAAGCATAAATTTCCAAGAACTCTACATCAGGCCGCATTGAATTTGTATTTTTGTAATTAGTCTTTAGAATTATAGGGGACTGACTTCATGATTAGGCTGCATGATTATCTCTCTCTCTCTCTTTCCCTACAACGACCTTGTGATGGTCCCTCATTTGCATAGCATGCATTTTTCTGGTGGTTATTATCATTGAAGCGATCTTTATAATCTAGGTATTGGTGTGAGTTGCCACCCCTAGGGTTCATTATTGATGAGGCTTTAGTTAAAATTTTGTTCCTTCTATTTTGTGCTGCTAGTGGCTGTGTGTCACAGCTTGTGCATGTATTATCAAACACATACATAACTTGGGCCCGGTCTTTTTGAAGGTGTGAGTTGCCACCCCTAGGGTTCATTATTGATGAGGCTTTAGTTAAAATTTTGTTCCTTCTATTTTGTGCTGCTAGTGGCTGTGTGTCACAGCTTGTGCATGTATTATCAAACACATACATAACTTGGGCCCGGTCTTTTTGAAACTTTATTCCTTTTGACCCATTTTGGTCTGATATAATTGTCCAATTGAAGGGACATCTCTTTCAGTTTTCTATTGAGTCATTTATAGATTTATTTTAACATTAAAGTGTTTTTTGATATTGCCTACACGCGAATCACCTTGATCATGCATTACTTATGTTAACGATGTTACTGAAATAGCAGTTACTTTATTGACAGAATCAATAAACTCCATTTCTCTGGTTTTGTTTTTCCTTGGAACAGAATATAATAATGTTCAGTGCTTGATATACTCATTTCAGGTCAACAATGACCGGAGTAGAGATTATACAATCCCAAATACTCCCATGTTGAACTCCCAACCCTCGTTTTTAGGGCAGCAACCACATCAGATGGTGGGACTTGGTGCTCATCAATACAATGGGGCGCAGTTTGCTCAAGCTCCCCAAGGGCTTGTAGGGCCTCAGTCTTCAGCAGGTTGGGGCCCAGTTGCGGCAGCAGCACCTCAATCCATGCCCATGCAGATGCATGGTCACCCTTACATGCCTTCTGCAGCTATCCCTCCTGAACATAGCCAGAATGGCCTACAACATACAGCAACAATGCCCCCGTATAAGCCCCAATAGCATTATCCTCCCATAAAAATCTTCTGTTTCCGTCATTGGTCGAATTTCAGTTCTCTAGCAGGCTTAAACAAAAGTGTACAATCTGGAAGGAGGTCCTTCAGCCACATTTGCCTACACTGAGGATCTCACATTTCAAAGTTTAAATTGTTGATCATTTTGATTTTTCTTTTCTAATATTTTGAAAGTGATACTCTGTGAGCTGGACTTTGGAACTCTTGATAGGCTTGTTAGACTTGATGAACTGTTCCCCTTTGTGGTACTGTATAATATCCTGGCGCCATTTTATTTTCTGGGCTAAATACAACGCTGCTTGGGGTGATGGTTGATCGAAGTGTCGTTTTGGCCCTTCCCCCTTTTTATCCCATAGGGAAATATTTTTCCCCTGCAGTTCAAAAACTAAAACATCTTTTAAATTAAAATATAATTCTAATGGGTAACAAGTTTTGGCAGTGCGAAAGCATGCTAACTTACCTTCCGAAAAAAAAAAAAAAAAATTGTGAAAGCATGATGAACTTTCAAATTAAATGTGGATCAAGGCAGAAGCTGATTAAAGTGTAGTCATTGTTCATTGGATATTGTTTTAAGTGGTTTGATATATACTATCAGTCAAAAGCATTTTCTTGAATACACTGTTCAGGGGTTATTTTATTTTTTGGATCTTTCACTTTCTTATGTTTTTTGTTTGGAAGGAATGGCTCTCAAGTAGCCTTCATAACCAGCATGCTTGAGCTACATCAACTGCACATGTCCTTGCAAGGCTTGAGAGAGATCATATCGACTAGGCTAATGGTAAAACTCAAAAGTTCATATAGGCTTATATTTTTTAAAGTCTTTCTTTACAACTAGTTTTTGGTCTTAAGACTTGGAGCCTTTCAAAAGATCCTTTAACGAATTCAATCTCAAGAGATCGAACTCTCTCTCTCTCTCTCTCTCTTAGGGTTAGTGTTGAACATGTGGATCAAATAAAATGCCAACTCAGCAAAGTATTGCATCATCTCTTACATCAGAAATGCTTGGTAGCCAAGGAGTGTAATTAACAAGCTACTTATGCGTGCATAACAAGCTCATTTGTCAGATGGTTACACTTCCAAAGGAAGTTTTATATATACTTGATGACCAAGTATTTAGGTGATCCATTTTTTGCTATAAATAGCCTTTGCTCCACCTGGTTTATGGCATCCAAAAATCATCAATTGAGTATCAGTTAGTGGGTGAGAGAGTTTGGGTGTAATTGGGTTTGGGGTATGAGCCACTTTACCTTGTATCTCTTTATTTCTATAGTAAAATATTGTTCTATTTTTTCTCCGTGGACGTAGGCATAGCCGAACCACGTATAAATCCTTGTCTCATTTATATGTGTGCCATTTTAATTTTTTGTCATTAATTTTCTCTTTTGTTCTCAAAACTCCTATTCGATCTTTTTTCCATAACAAACTGGTATCAGAGTTCGGGTTCGTGTATTGTGTACAGATATTGTTCATACGTACGGTACTGTTCGCAGATACTATTCGGTTACTGTTCACAAATACAGTACTATTCACCGAGATTTTTTTTTTTGGCGTTTTTTGAGATGTCGACCAGATACGAGATTGAGAAATTTGATGGCAAGATTAGCTTTAGTCTTTAGCGCATTAAGATGCAGGCCCTACTGACTCAACAAGGTCTAAAGAAGGTGTTGTTCGGGAAGGACAAGTTGCCAACGACTATGTCTAATGAAGACAAGGATGAGCTCGATGAAAAGGTGCGTAGTGCAATTATGTTGAATTTAGCTGATGAGGTGCTGCGTGAAGTTATTGATGAAGACATGGCGACAAAGTTGTGGCTGAAATTGGAGAGTCTATATATGACGAAATCTCTCACCAACAGACTTTACCTGAAATAAAGACTCTACACCCTTCGAATGAAGGAAGGTATGCCTCTTAAGGAGCATATTGATAATTTCAATTATGTTATTATGGATTTGAAAAATATTGATATTAAAATTAATGACGAGAATCAAGCCCTTATTTTGTTGTGTTCTTTGCTTCCTTCCTATGAGCATTTTGTTACCACATTGCTCTATGGAAAAGACACTATTAGTATGAAGGATATTAAATCCTCATTGAACTCTCAAGAGTTGAGGGAAAAGGTGTCTGGGAATATTGGAGATGAACAGGCCGAAGGTTTATTTATAAGAAGCAAAGGTGAGACAAAGGGTTCTAGTAGTAGGGGCAAATCTAGATCTCACAAAAATGTGGATTGTTACTACTGTCACGAGATAGGGCACATCATTAAGCATTATCCCAAACTAAAGGCAAAGAATGGGAAGGGAAAAGAGAAAGTTCAAGAAGCAGCTTATGTGTCAACTGCTACAACGAGTGATTCGGAAAGTGACGATTATGTTCTCATGACAACCTTGTGTTCAGGTATGTCATTTAATGACAGGTGGATCCTTTATTTTGGTTGTTCCGTTCATGTGTGTCCCAGTAGGGATTCTTTCTCTTCCTATAAAGAGGTGAAAGGTGGTTCGATTTTGACGGCGGACAGGAAAGCTTTCAAAATTTTGGGAATTGGAATAGTCAAGATCAAGACGCACAATGGGTTGGTGAGAACATTGTCAGATGTTCGACATGTACTGGATTTGAAGATGAATCTTATTTTAGTAGGTGTGCTTGACTCCAAAGGTTACAAGGTTGTAATAGAGGGTGGAGCAATGATGGTCGTGATGGATTCTCTTGTGGTGCTACAAGGCACCAAGGTGAAAAATTTGTATCTTCTCCAAGGGAATATAGTAACAGGTGGTGCTTCTACAGTGTCTTCTACCGTTAACAGAAATCTGCGTTCGGGTCTTAGCAAAAGAAGATTTAGAAAGAGGAGTTACGATCCTAGTTCTCAAAAGGGTTGTGAGGGGACTACACAACGTGGTGGGAGAATGAAATCCGTTTTCAGATGGCAACTGAAATTGCAGCAGTCCTTACAGGAGGCAGACCCATGAGGACAGGTGTGATATTGACTTGCAATAATCTTGGTGGCAATGAGATAGTCCATTCGAGTGCCATTAAGATGCATGGGAGGCAAGTAGTTGGTCACAACAGAGATGCGAGGAAAAGTCAAGGACGTCCTATTTTTCACAAAGGTGAGAAGATGACTTTTCATTACCAGCCGGTGGTTTGTGGGCGGTTGGAGAAGGTTGCTGAAGGAGATGTCAAACTTGGAATTTCTGAAGGTGTCTTTGGTAAGCATTTAGAGTCACAGAAATACTGGAGATATGCTTGTGGCTGCGCAAGACATGCATGGGTTGAAGAATGAGAGCCCGAGGGTTAAGTTTGAGGATGACTTAAACTTAACTAAAATACTTAATGAATTTGTTTAGTGGATAAGACAGGTCGTTTGGCAGAGATACAGTGGCTCATTCAGAATTTTCGCCAAGGTGGAAATTTGTTGAACATGTGGCTCAAATAAAATGCTAACTCAGCAAAGTATCGCATCATCTCTTACATCAGAAATGCTTGGCTGCCAAGGAGTGTAATTAACAAGCTACTTATGCGTGCACAACAAGCTCATTTGTCAGATGGTTACGCTTCTAAAGGAAGCTTTGTATATACTTGATGACCAAGTATTTAGGTGACCCATTTTTGGCTATAAATAGCCTTTTCTCCACCTGGTTTATGGCATCCAAAAATCATCAATTGAGTGAGTTATCAGTATCAGTTAGTGGGTGAGAGAGTTTGGGTGTAATTGGGTTTTGGGTGTGAGCCATTTTGCCTTGTATCTCTTTATTTTTATAGTGAAATATTATTTTATCTTCTCCCCGTGGACGTAGGCATAGCCGAACCACGTATAAATCCTTATTTCATTTATATGTGTGCCATTTTAATTTCTTGTCATTAATTTTTTCTTTTGTTCTCAAAATTCCTATTCGATCCTTTTTTCATAATAGTTAGCACACCAAAATGGCTATGGTCGGGGGTGCACAACAAGCTCTCCCCGATAACAACATCGGCCGAAGAATCCGCCTTGAAAAGGAACACCAATTAGTAACTTGCCTTTCCTGACACTGACCCTCGATCAAGGTCTATAACCCCTGATCAAGGTCTATAATCCCTTTGTTGTCTTGCCAATTTAGACCCGAGCAGAGCCTTACACCGCTAACCCCATGATCACTGAATGTCCTTTCCCAAAACAGCGTCAAAGTTTTTGCTTGACTACATAAACTACTTTTATTATTGAAGGGGTGTAGGGGAAATTTGGACTTGTCCATGAGCAACCTTTCTAAAACATTCCAAATTTGATTTGGAAATCTTGTCAGCATTTCTTACTGGTTCGGCAGGAAATACCATCGCATCACTTCGTTCAGAACTGATTCGGCAGCCTTGAAAAGGAACACCGATTGCGTTTACTTTCTCGCTTCACCCTTAACTTGCAAGAAGGTTCGATTTTCATCTTTTACATATATATACACACACACACACACACACACATTATCTTTTATATGATAATGTATTCATATTCAAACAGTGGCAAAAACTCGACTATTGAAAGTGATACCCAAATGTCTGGGCACTTTTCACTATTACATTATGGGTTGCCTGGGGAACTCATATCTTGAGGACAGAGGATTTTGTAGTGACATGGACGCTGACATGAATTGAGCGCAGGTAAAAATGCTTCCAGTTGTTTGTGATCCACTACATTAGTTTATTAAATAGTCGTATTAAACACCAAAATTTAAGTTGTTGGTTGTGTTTTTATGTTTTTTTGTGTATATTTGTCCGTGCTTTCCTGTATTATGTTTTATGTGTTCTTTGGAGTAGGGGTGCAAAAATGTAGGGGTGAACACGGTTCGGTTTGGTCCGATTTTGAGGATTTTTGAAACCAAACTGCTCCCCACGGTTCCAGAAAATCTGAAACCGAAACAGACCATTTGAGCCATGGAACCATAGCAGCCTGAACCGTGAAAAAATAGTTTGGTTTGGTTCTGTTCCACGGTTCTAGTTGAATTTTATTTCCCTTCTTTTGTTTTTCCTTGAATTGTATATACAACAAAATTATCAATAAAAACATTCACATTCCCGAATCCAAGACTAAAATAGAAAGAGAAAAAAAAAAGGGGAAAGTGGGTGAAATAGACCCAAAAAGTAAATCATAGAAATTAAAATAAGGTTGAATCTTACTGAAACTGAAAAGAATGATAAATCCGTAGTTGAAAACTAAGAAACTTGATTCGTTGTAGTTGTTGGTTGTGCTTGAGGCGCAAACACGTCGTGAGACTTAGAGATATGTGAACTGGAAGTAAGAGAGAAGGGGTGAGAGTGTAAGAAAGAGGATGTCACCGATGACAGCGGTAAAAGATCGACGGCGATGATTGAACTTCAAAGGTTGCTTGAGAGAGATTGATCAACAATTGGATCCCGCGACGATGAGAACTAAGAAGTAAATGAGGCGACGTGAGCAAAGGAAAAAAAACGAGATAGTGGAAGAATGTTGGCACGTACCCAAAAATCAAAACATTACGAGAAGCAAAAGCAAATAAAAAAAATCAGATAATGATGAATGTTGGCTCCCGTTTGATCGTTGTGCCGAAATTCCTTCTAAAGTTAAGAGTAATATATAGGTATAGCTATATATATATATATATATAATATAACATATATTTGTATACATATTATAACGGTTCAGTCTGGGCCGGTCCGGTCCAGTCCTGTAGGACCTTAATCCGGGACCAAATAAAAAATTAACGGTTCCATTATTTTAAAACCGTGACCAGACCGAACCGCCTAGATCGTCCTATTCGGTCCGATCCGATTTAATTTTTTGGATTGACGGTTTTTTTGCAAACCCCTCCAAAAATGACAAAATTTAAATTACAGTGGGAATAGGAGCATCAGCGTTAGAGTGAAACCTTTTTAGAATAATTGTAATTGTGTGCCTTAGATTAGAAGTGTGAATGTGTGATCGTGAGTGAGCTTTACGGAACACCGATTTGTAGATCATTTCTATTGAATCCGGCCCAAAGAAAAATGAATTTATGGGTTGGGTGAGTTGAGGGAAAATGGGTTGGATCAGTTGAGGGAGAATGGGTTGGGATGGGATTGTAAGCCCGTGGGCTGAAGTAAAGGGACCCAATAACAAGGCAAGGCCCGCAAGGGTCTAATGACTCAGTGAGTCGTTGGTCCCCGTGACACTGACACTACCGATGTATAATTCAGGATTAAATAAGTCGAGTTATCGACGAAATATTTTTTTTTGATAAAGGCCACGCAGCCCACACCAGAGCGCCAATTTCAATCGAGATAAGGTTTCTTCTCTCCCAATCCTTTCCTTCCCTGCTCTCTCTCTCTGACCCCATTATATGGTTCATACACAGACATATCTCTAGGGAGAGAAAGTGTAGTAGAGAGAGAGAGTTCACGTAACAGTGTCTTTCACAAGCCCTAGTTACGCCATGGCTGCTCTTCAAGCTTCTCTTATTTGTAATCCCTGTTTCTCTCACATCACTTCCTCGAAGCGCCTCCAACTTTCTCTCTCTATCAGCCCGAGCTCTAGGTGTCTTTATTCTCCCTTTTCTCTCACTACATTCAATTCAACGGATCGAAAGTCTCGATTTTGCCGCCACAGTCTTGGTCTTTATTGTACATTGCATCAGGATAACGTGAATTTGAGTTCGGAGGCAAAAATTTCCAGTAATAATTCGGTTTCAGACTTTGAAGAACCTAAAGTTAATGAATTTCGAGATGAATTTCCCGGTCAGAGCTCCGAAATTGATGCGGAGGTATCAGTATCAACGGTTGAGGGATTAGGGAGTGTTGGTTCTGAAGTTGAAAGCGAAACGAAATTGGAGGATGAGAAAGGAGATTTTAAGAGTAGGCTACCGGTGGTTGTTTTCTTAATGGGAGTGTGGGCGATGGCGAGGAAAGGATTTGAGAAGTTTTTGCTGTCGGATTGGTTTAGTTGGTGGCCGTTTTGGCGGCAAGAGAAGCGTTTGGAGCGACTGATTGCAGAGGCCGATGCAAATCCCAACGATGCGGCCAAGCAGAGTGCATTGTTGGCGGAACTTAATAAGCATAGGTTAGGCACTTCATTCTAATCTTCTTCCTTTAATTTTTATTTGGTTTGGATTTAAGAAGTACATTTATTTGCTTCGAAAAAATAGCGTGGTACGCTTGACATCTTGCTAAAAAATTATGGAAAGTACTTCTGAGTTGCTAATTAAACAGTAGCTTGTTTTTGCTTTTGCTAGCTTGTTATACTGATATGGAGGCATCATGAGAAATCTAGCTTTTATTGACGCGGAGACATGAATGAAGTGGTAAATTCACTTGGGGGCTTAAATATAGTATTGCACGATATAGGCTAGTCAATAAATAAGAAAGGCAAAAATAAATAAATAAATAAATAAAAACCAAAGATGTTGCCAAGGTAAATTGAAGGTTAGGGCTTTTCGTATCTTGTGTTGGCTTTTGTTGTGATAGTGTGATTTATCTTTTTGTTATAGTTAGTGGATGTTTGGGATCACATCTGAACAGTTGCTTGCTCAACTTTGGGTTATTCGTTGAAGGAAGTTCAATATATGGTGCATCAGGTTACTTGTGTCATTTGTGCCGCATTCACACCTTTTAAAACACATTTAAGAGGAAAAAAAAGTGGAGACACACATTTAATATATATGACAGCACAATTCCTTTTCCATTTTCTTTTTGAGGGTAAGGGATACTGAGATTCATTATAGTGGGTTGATTAAGATTTTTATCATACGTTGTGGTAGTAGAACGGTGTTGCCAGCAGTGATGGGCAAAAGATAGTAGCATGTTATTGAATTATTGTACCTATATTCTGTAACATGTTGAACTCTATCTTTTATTTTCTTTTAAATCCATTTGTTTTTTCCCCAGTCCTGAATCTGTCATCAGGCGTTTTGAGCAAAGGGATCATGTAGTCGACAGTGGAGGAGTCACAGAATATATTCGAGCTCTTGTGGCTACTAATGTCATTGCCGAATATCTTCCGGATGAGCAATCTGGAAAGCCTTCTAGTCTTCCTGCATTGGTAATAATTGTGTCTTTCCTTGTCTTCTAGTTTTTCATGTATTTTATACATCATTCCTAATGGGTGATTTCCTTGTGAAACCTTAAATGATGCTTAAAAATTTGAACTTTAATTAAAGTTTGCCCGTTGATTATTATGTGTATACTATTTCTTCCACTAACTGCCCCATAAGGTGGAATAAGAATATATATATTTTTTTGGGCTTCCCCTTGCGGTATGAAACTGCTAAATTGGATATTGCATAGACTTTGCCTTTGACATACAAGTTTTGTGTTCAATTATTCCATTGTTGGGGGACTTGAAAGGAGTTCGGATGCGTATCTACAAAGCAAGGCATCAATCTTCATTACATAAATTCAACCGCTTTGGGGGGATCGAAGTGAGTGGATATCCGGGATAGAGGTGCTAATGGGGGCTGATATTTTAGGCTACGGGTGAGCATTAGGACTGCTCGACCTCTCCGCGGATTTATGAAATTCAAATTTGAGTATTTCAAGCATTACTGAAGTATGAAAGGTTTGGGGGGTTTTGTTGTAGGGGAGATCTATTTAAAGACATACTAGGGTGTCATTTTAACAAATGTACCAACCTGTTACGCTGTATGCCTGTATGCTAGAAATTAGGTGGTATGTGCCGTAATGTGTTGTTGTATTGTGAGATAAATAGTTCATTTTTATAATTCTACATGATGTGACTCTGCTAATTTAGATGGACCATTTATCCCATGTGGTGGTTTTGGATGAAAGTGGTTTTGTATGGTCTTGTGTGCTATGGTTGTTGTTATTTACGTTTAGATAATTCAGTCATTACGTGAGCTGAGATGCAATAGCACTTACAATAGGCTCTTCTACCATTTCTGAAGTTCTCTACATTGCCACGTGTGATATTCAGTAAGCAGAAAAGACCACTTTGCACTATGCTCAATTGATAATGTATATGTAAGAGGTTTGTGGCTAGAGAGACGTGGTGGTGGTTATGTTACTTGGACACTTCAATTTGAGTGGAGGACCTCTATCAGATTTGGCATGAAATATGCATAAGTTGGGGATGTGTCCAAAACATAATGTTGGGCACTTCTGCAAGTATATTGTCCTATGAAAAAATAGAAGACCACTTAACCGAAACGTAATGTAACATTGACTGGAGCGTATTGGGTTATATAACTTATACAGAAGTTGGTTGTGCATCACCTTTTAGTCAGGGGGTGAGGATTAGCTATCACCTCAGGAATGCCCTGTGGTAAACAGTTCTGCTTGGCAATTCTGGATATATGTGGATGGAGCAAGGTATGCGAGTTTGAATTAACAAGGACTCTCCATTTTTAACTTGAAGTATAACCATATAGCTTGTTTATTGTGAGGTTCCACAATTGATTTGTGCTTTGTTTGAGTTTCTAGAGTTTTTTTGTCTTTATTTATTAATTATTTTTTATTGTAGTTTTTAAAATCTGCATGTTCTATGAACCTTGGCTTTTTTCTCTTCAAAAGATTGTTTTTCTCAATGATATATATTTATATACATATATATATATATATATTTATTTATTTATAGCTAGCACAAAAGGAAATATTTTGTGGAGGAAAACAAAGGAAATTGTTTGATCACCAAATATGGTGGTTTAGAAAATAAATGTATTTCTGGATTGCAAACTGTAGGCATACTACTACCTATATTAATATTAGCTCATCTACTTTATTATTTTAACATAAACCATATTTGACATTCTCAATACTTGAAATCCATGTCCTTTGCTTCATTAATACTTTGCTTGATTATATTAAACTGTAGGCATACTACTACCTATATTTTGCTTGTTTGAATTAACAAGGACTATTCATTTTTAACTTGAAGGATAACCATATAGAATCTTGTTTTTGTGAGGTTCCACAATTGATTTGTGCTTTGTTTGAGTTTCTAGAGTGTTTTTGTCTTTATTTATTAATAATTTTTTGTTGTAGTTTTTAAAATCTGCATGTTCTATGAACCTTGGCCTTTTTCTCTTCAAAAGATTGTTTTACTCAATGATATATATATATATATATATATATATATTTATTTATTTATAGCTCGCACAAAAGGAAATATTTTGTGGAGGAAAACAAAGGAAATTGTTTGATCACCAAATATGGTGGTTTAGAAAATAAACGTATTTCTGGATTGCCAACTGTAGGCATACTACTAACTATACTAATATTGGCTCATCTACTTTATTATTTTAACATAAACCATATTTGACATTCTCAATACTTGAAATCCATGTCCTTTGCTTCATTAGTATTTTGCTTGATTATATTAAACTTTACGTTAATTATAAAAAAAGAATAACATTGAGGAAAAAACATCACCGTTCACTATTTTATTCCATATTTGAGCAGGGAAAGACAAATCTGTTACTGAAGTTTCATGGGAAAAAGTCATATCCCCACATAAAATCATTTAACCTTTAATTTTTCTCAAATTTGTGTTGATGCTTTTGTGCTACTGTTCCCATCTCTTTTTAAATGTATTAATGTTGCACTACTTATGGCCACCTCTGTATTTGTCTTCTTTTGACATAGCCAACTATCGCAGTAGCTTCCTCCATATCATTGCATATTGCTACAATTTTTCCTTGACCTGTTGGTCTCACTCATCAGTTGCAGCATTTTCTCATCTGTGTTAGGAGCTTTATCTTTGTACTGAAATTCTAATTATTGCATTGTAATTAAGGCGTTAAGAATTTTGTTTTGATGTGGTAGTTTTCTAACTAATTATTGGAATCTATGGACAGTTGCAAGAATTGAAGCAGCGTGCATCGGGAAACATGGATGAGCCCTATTTGAGCCCTGGCATATCTGAGAAGCAGCCATTGCATGTGGTGATGGTAAGAAGTATAGTCCTCGTGCTTTTTCTGGTAGAATTATGTACATTCAATGCTAATATATTTATATGTGATCTTCGAAGATTGAACATTTTTTACTGTTTTCTGGCTGACTGGTTCATTGACATATGATCTTTTGTTCCTGTATGTGGTTTTGAATTTAGAATATGCTGTTCTCTCTTTTAGGTTGACCCTAAGGTGTCAAACAGATCATCGCGTTTTGCACAAGAGCTTTTGTCAACTATCTTGTTCACTGTTGCTGTTGGTTTGGTGTGGTATGAGCTTTTCTTTTAACTAGTGTGGTTTAATTGATGAATGATATTATTTAAAAGACCAAAACACAAAAAGGACCATGCATTATGGAATAACCTCCAATACGGAAAAATATGGGGGGTAATAAACTCTCTCCCTCTCCCATGCTGACTCAAGAACACCATTTGAGCTATTATTATTGAGTGTTTATTTAAATATTAATATTGTTTTCAGGGTAATGGGTGCCGCTGCACTTCAAAAGTATATTGGTAGCTTAGGTGGGATTGGGACTCCAGGTGTTGGCTCAAGTTCTTCCTATACTCCAAAGGAGTTGAACAAGGAAGTGATGCCCGAGAAGGTAAATTTATGATTTCCTGTGTCTGCAATACTAGCAATCTTTAAAGACTGCTGCAATGAGTTTTGAATTGTCCTTATTATATTGTTTCCTCATTATATTTTATGTGAAATAGCTAACTTTTGTATTTCATGTCGAAGATGATCAGCTAATTTAAGTTCAAGTTTGGTTTTCCTTTGAAATTAATAAGAAATATAGTTGGTGCTGAAATTTTGACTAGAAAGCGAAACTGATTGATTGTTTATTTTACAAATAAAATCCATTATATGTGCCAAGAAATGGTTGCACAAATCATGTACATGCGGGATCTATGAAAGCTATACAAGAGTCAAATACAGAAGATCATATCACCCATAAACTCTACAAAATAATCATTCACAAATCCAAAACAATGAAGTTCTCCAAAAACTATTCTTCAGCCCATGAATTGGAAGCTTGGCTCCTTCAAAGATTCTTCCTTTCCTCTCCCCCCAAATGATGTGATATAGAGGGCCTTCGTATCCCATACATTTAGAACCCTTCTTCAAATAAAGTTACCCCTCTATTTCCTAAAAGTCTACCACTGCTCCAGGTAAAATCCATTTAAATCCAAAGAGTGCAAACAAGAGCTTCACAGCTCCCCAGAGATACCATATTGGACATGGTTAACCGCCCCTTCATCCTGTTTGCACGTGTAATATCAACAACCAGCATTTTCTATGCCTAAAATTTACAATCATAATAACCAAAACCAACTCAAACTGTTGATTGAACAAATAATGCCACTTTAAAGGGGCCTTTTGAGCCAAAGGCACCTCCAAGGGTCCTTCCTGTGGTCATGCGTCATAAAATTTCTTTTGGCCATCATTTTCTTAACTGTAAGAATTTTATCTGCATCTCCTTAATCATCAAGAATTATATGTTGGATAATCTGATTAAGCAGGAATTGGTTAAATTTCATAGAGTTGTTGCATGTTAATACTTGGAAATAAATTTGCTTGAAATTGTTCAAGCATAATTTGTCCTTGATGGAATTGGTTTTAAAATGCATTTAACAAGATGGCTGGAACGTGCAAGAATTAGTCTTATGAACTAAAAATTATAAATCAGCAACACCAGAAATTGAAGCCCTGTTAACTGTGCTGTCACCCTAAGTTAGTGAACAAAAATATGCTTCACTCTGATTTGAGTATGATAGACTTTGATCCAGATTATAAATCTTAGAAGGATTCACCTTGACTATTAGGATTCCATTTGTAAATTTTAAAACCCTGAATCATTGCTTCATTTTGCAAGATGTTTCAAAGTGGAGATATTTCCGTAGTGAGTTTTGAGTTGATAAACATTAAATGATATGTAGGATAGTTCTTATCTACAACTGGCATGATGGAGCCTCAGGAGGACAGTGGACTTAACACCCCTATTCACTTGTGAGTTGTGACCAATGCTTATTCTCGAGCTTCTCTTCACAAGTTTTGGATGCTTGCTCAGATACTTGAGAAATTCAACCTTCATTTACTTCAAAATTGTGCTGATGAATTCTTCTTAGTAGGGAATGTGTATAATAGCTATTATTCTCTTCACTGCACTCAAAATGTCACAAAGTCTATGCATTAGGAAGATGCTGTCCAACATGCCATGTTCCTATTAAAATGCAGTGGTTGTTTCTGTCTTCATATCATAATGAACATGACATCTGTAGGGCTATTAGACATGCAAGATAATATATATAATATTTTCAGCTGTATATGCATTTTTAAGTAGATGCACTTTCTGATTGCGATTACTAGAATCCAGATTTTTATAATGAAATTTAATGACATGCTATTGAATATTGATGTATAAAGATTGATTTAAGTTTTTGATTGATGGTGACAAGAATTGATTTAGTGATTAATTTCCTTGGAAGTTTCAATAATCTTTTGGATTTCGTCTAAGTCAGATTGTTCCAGAAACAAAACCCAAAGCTTTGATATTCAACTTGATGGTATTCTTGGTGCACCCTGTTATTGGATTTAATAGTATGAAATTTCACAGGGATTTTAAATCTGTAGTGTTGGTTGATACCTGTTTGAATTTAGCAGTTCTCTAGTGTGTGTTTATATGTGTACATTCTTATCTTTGAACTAGTGATTATGTAGACATTTCAGACACTGCTTTGGGAACACTTTTTTTTTTCAACCTTTTACTTTTTTCTCGAGTTAATGCCATGCACTTGTTCTTTACCATACTTACACTTATTGTTGCCTTAGAAAAAGGTGTGGTATAAAGATAAGTTTGATTATGAAGGCTATACTTTGTTCACTCTTATATTGTTTGATTTTGGCGGTAAATACAACTTTGGGAGTTTTTTTTAGTTGATGGTGCAAATATTGAAGTTTCTTTTTGACTGTTGGTACATCCATTTGTTCTATTTATACCCAGGAAAGATGTTATTTGGTTTTGCTTTGAAATGTACTGGACTAGTAAATAATAATTTGTGCCGTTGATCCTGACTAATTGGTTTTGCTGCAGAATGTGAAAACATTTAAGGATGTCAAAGGTTGTGATGATGCTAAACAAGAGCTAGAGGAGGTGGTGGAGTATCTCAAAAATCCAACAAAGTTTACTCGACTTGGGGGAAAGTTGCCCAAGGTTTGTTTATTTGTTTTGTTAAACACATTTATATGCACCAAATGCTCTCCTTTTATGCATTTACTCTGTTCAAAATACTGTCTATTTCCTTTGGTTCTCTTGGTGTTTGGTCAGTTTTTCTAGTTGGCGTGCTAGGCAGTTCTCCATGTATACATAGTGTAATATATAGGTTCTCTGCGCATATGAACTAATTAATATCAAGTGTACACTTCTAGCAGTTCACAATTCAATGGTCAGGCTCTGGCATTATATTTTTCATGTTGTACATCATGTATGCTATAATTAAGATGCATGCATAATTTAATTGCCTTCTCAGATTTTAATATATGGGTAGTATTTGGTTTCCCTTTCTTTAATGATTATATTTGTCCTGGCTCTGTTTTGGTATATCACTGGTGGAACACTGAAGACAGTCTTTCTACTTTATTTACTAAAATAATTGTTCTTAGGTTGTTCATTGTGTTTTTAATTTTTTGGTTTTTAATACATGAATTTGCAGGGAATTCTTTTGACTGGAGCACCTGGAACCGGAAAAACTCTGCTTGCTAAGGTAGAATGTTGCACATTCTTACAATGATTCTTGACATGTGTCATGGACTAATATCTGTAGCCGTTGGTATATGAATTTATGAGATGGGAATTCTTATATCCTCTTGAGGAGTGGAAGAAGGATTTTGAGGGCACAAAGACACCAATAAAATTCTTTCAAAGTAGGTGTTATTTTAAATCATTAAATTAAGTAATTGTGAAACTGACTGAATTCAGGTACATCCACTCATGGGGCAGAATTATAAACATCATCATCGGATATGCCACCATTGTCATCCACTCCCACCATCTATTAATACTCAAACTATTCGTCCAAATATAAAATTAAAAAGGGGTTTTCATTCCTTGTGATTTCACAATTAACATAAAGTTCATTTAAACCCACCCTAAATGTTTACAGCCCTAGGATAGCGAGCATGGTATTACTTAATATAAAAAGTGGTCCTTCATTGATTTGGCCATAATTTTCTGAGTCATATTTTTGTTGAAAATTTTCTCAACACAGAGACACAGAATCATACTAGTAGTTACTGGGCAAGAAGGATTGTATATTATATATGTGTATATATACTGAGATAATCATGCATGAAGGTGTTCTTCTTCTTCTTCCTTTTTCTTTTCATAGATAGGCTCATCCCATTCATATGTCACTTGAGCTAGCTATTGGTCTTTCTAGGTTAGTAACTGTAAGCCCAAGAATCCTATCAATCATCAATAGTAAATTTTCTTGTGTATATACTCATCTGAAATTTTCAGTTTTTACAGTGGTTATTCTGATGTTAAGAAAACAGTCTCTTTCCAAATTTCTGTGCCTTTTAGTTTAAGTTCAGCTACGTTTATATTTGTGCTGATTATGGTCAATGCATCTGGAACTATGAAGGCGATTGCTGGCGAAGCTGGGGTACCTTTCTTCTATAGGGCTGGTTCTGAATTTGAGGAAATGTAAGTCATCTATATTGCTAGTTAACAAATTGACAAACTTGTGATTAGTGCTTGATGGCATGTGGGATAAAAATGTAAACCAATGCAATCCTCCCTTGCTAATATATAATGAGAATCCATGAAGTACCGTATTTTTTATTATCCCCTTGGGGAGCATTAGTGAAAGAAGATGATAGTTACTCACTTAAATAGCTAGCAATTGTCAATTCTTGACTGGATTATGTTCGAAGTGATTTTTTATTTTTATTTTTTTAATTTAAAATATTCCATCTTTTGGCATTATACTCATCATCTTCAGTCAATTCGATTATACTTGTACAAAATCCGTGTTAATGTTCACCTGGCTGTTGGAATAAAGGTGCTCAGAGAATATTTGAAAGATCAGAACCCCTTGATCTGTTGTGTGCTGTTGATAATAAGCCACCCAAACTGGATTGATATCGAAATTTCAAGGAAATATATTTTGCATCATTTGTGATGGAGAAGTTTAATGAACTCATCCTACTTAATTAATCAGACTGCTTGTTGAAAATCAATTAGTTTGGAAGACACATTATAAGTTTTGGGTACTTTAACTTTTAAAAAAAAATTAAAAAAATTTGGGCACTATAAAATTGTTACCTTCTGTTAATTTGAAAATGGTGTATTGTTTGAAAAGGGTGATTCTTGCATCCAATAATATGAAATTTGAGTATCTGGAAATGGAATGGAGATGGTGTTCAAGCTTTTTGACAGATTTGAACGGATGCATTTGGTATGTGAGAGTAAAATACTGACCATCAATCGTCATATTGAAGTTCCAAAATCCATATATATAGAGGAAATGAGTAAAAGATATGGAAGATTGAAATTTTTGTACAAAAATGATGGAAATTAGTAACTAATCATGAAAATCTTCAATGGAACGTTTTGAAACATTAAAGTGTTAGAAATAAGTAAGTTTGTATTAAACCAGTGTGAAAAGATAATTGTTATTGATTATGAATCTATGGGATGTAATAAGTGTGTCATGTATTATTTTTGCAAGCTAATCAGTGTAATAATAATCTTGTTCAACCATTCAAATGGATTATAATTTACAAATTAAATTTCTAATTTTTTGTCCATTCCAAATTTCTTAGTTGTGACTCTTATCTGTTTTATTTTTGTTACACAATTAAACTTGACAGAAATTAAAAATTTTGCGTTTTACAAATAATGAGAATTATGAGACATAATGTAATCCAGATATAACTCAAGGTGCATTAAATTACCTTATAATTTGTATGTATTATATATATATATATATACACACACACACTTCATACTTAATAAAGCATATTTTATGCGGGAGATACTACTTTTTATTTTGTAGCTTAGTGGTGTAGAACGGGAAAAAATATGAAAATGACATGAAACATTAACAAGATATATTATATCCTTAAGGTATTGTTGGTAATACAAGAAATCTCTAAGATGATGTGTTTGGAATATGTATCTTGTGTTCTAATGATACCGAAGATATCGCTTGGTTTTTAGTCTATATCAATGAGATTTTGTTCCTTGGATATTACTGCCAACATTCCTCTACCAGTATTATCTTAAATTTTCATGAATTTTGTATTTTTAAAACCTATAATATTTAATGGCTTTTAGTCTTTTGGTTTGTTAGTTATTTATTAAAAAAAGGCCCACCTTCTTTCACAAAGTATTGGTTGGGAAGGTTGGGGGCCACTAAGCGTTGTCTTCACCTTAAGTAGGCATTAACCTTCGTACAAATACATCTGCATTCATGTGCATTTGCTTAGGCAATCTGGTATTGGTGTAGGGTTGGGACATTCTTCGGATCAGACTAAACAGTTGGGGTCTCAAAACAAAAATAGTAAAACATTGCTTTTGGATTTCTAATGCTGGCTACCCTTATAGAGAATACTTATCATGTTGCATTTCATGTACTAGGTTTGTTGGGGTTGGTGCTCGACGTGTAAGATCCTTATTTCAAGCAGCTAAAAAGAAGGTTTGTTGTCTTGCAGATTTTGTTGGATGGATTCTATCAAAATATGAAATTTATTTCTCTGGCATTTGTGCTGACATACAAATTTTTGTATGACTTGTAGTAACTTTTTGTGATAATTGCGTATAGCATATATGTAACACGTAAAATGTCACTTGCTTGGAGAAAATAATTAACTATATCATGTGATTGTCTTAGCTCTTTATGTACATCCGGATTTTGCATTGTCAGAGTTTCTTCTTGAAAGAGAGTTGAAATTGAAAACTAATAAATAAATAAGAAAGAAAAATAAAAACATCTCTAAAACAAGAAGACTTTGAAAAATTAGATCCAAGCACAGACATGCATACATGGGAGGGAGAGAGAGTTGAGTGCAAAAGGTCTCGCACTAATATTATTTGATGCCTTTTGGGTGGGTCTTGCACTATTATTGTTTGATGCCTTTTGGACTGGGTTCTTCACTCAACCTATTACGTGACTATATTTGATTGCCATAAAAATTGGAAGTGAATATTGGTCCATGTAAAGTCTGTATTTAGGTGATCTCATTTATATGATTAAAGTTTCTGCTCCATCGTTTTTTGTGAATTGTTGTGTGTCAAAGTTTTTCCAGGTTTTCATTTGTGCTTTCAAGTTTCAACAAGTTCATTCTTTGAAGCTGGAGTATTACGGAAAAACAAGCTGAATGAAACTGGAGATGGTTGCACAAAATTGTTGCTTTCCTATATAATAGTGTTGGGTTTTATCCTTAGCAAGCATCTGCCTTGCCCTCAGAGGCTTTAATTCTGTAGTGTGTCTTTAGGGGATGGAATAAAAATGTTTGAACTTAGAATGCAAACTTGGTATTAAATTGCTGAAAAAAATAGGACAGAAAAAGAGAATGCACTTAGAATTTCCTAGTTCTTGCACTTGGGAGAAATGAACATATTTATGTGTTTAGAAACCTTCCACACGGGCTTCACAGGATCTCAACCAATCCATATAAGACTTTGGATTTAGGCTTTTAGAGCTTTCATATACTTTAAAATACTTAGTAAAAGTCAAAGTGAGATCTGCCAATTGTTTTTAACTATCAAATGCTGATAGATAATTATGCGGTTGAAGGTTCCCCTTTCTATAATGACCAATTCAGAAGATACCTTTGGCCGCACTGAAACAGAGTGATTCCTTCTTTTCCTTTAATGACCTAACATTTAATAAACTTATTTACAGGTAAGGAATTTAAATGACCACTTAAACAGTTAACATAACAATGCATATACTTCTGCTAGTCAATCTGGCTTTTGTACACCAATATGCGTCTTAGTACATCTACCAAATCTTTCGAGTTTTATCATATTTGTATGTCTTAAAAGTCTTCCTTATGTATACTTGGTATTATTTTCTGATATATCTGCTTCCTTTTTACTGCCTTTTATAGGCTCCTTGCATAATTTTCATCGATGAAATTGATGCCGTTGGATCCACGAGGAAGCAATGGGAAGGGCATACAAAGAAAACGTTGCATCAATTACTTGTTGAAATGGATGGGTTTGAACAGAATGAGGTACATGCATGCGATCTTGCACTCTTAGTTAATTAATTTCTTTTTTACATTTTTTTTTTTTTTTTTTTTTTTTTTTAATGTTAAGGTGATTTTCTTATAGGGCATAATTTTAATGGCTGCAACAAACTTACCTGATATACTTGATCCAGCTTTAACAAGGCCTGGTAGATTTGACAGACATGTAAGTTCTTAGATGATCTATATAGACCACCTTGTGGTGTTTTGACATTTCTTTAGAGCTTATGTTTTTATTTTGAGAAGTTTTTGTGCAAACTGAATTTGATACCTCTGAAGATTTATTTCTTTTTCTTTTCCTTTTCCTCTGTAATCAATTCATAATTTTCAAGTACCCTTCTGGCTGAATGTCTCACGGTCATCATAGCCCCTAAATCATATAATGATCTGGATGGAATTTGTCATAATAACAAAATTTTGAAGTTTATAGCCTTTCAGGTCTTCATTATAGTTAGTTGACTTCCTATCTGGACCATTAAATGCTTATTTTGGTTCAACATCTTTCAAGGCTCATCCATTGTGGTGATTCTCTTGATTGTGATTTGTCTTGAGCATTTTCTATTCTGGCTGCTCCACTTTTTGGGAGAGCAGTCTTTTAGCTATAAGAAGCCTTTATAATCTGACTTGAGTGATTTCTCTGGTTGCGATTCCTTGATTGTGCCTTTTGATCTTCTAGTTTTGTACTCTTAACCTATGAACTAAGTCGAGTTTCATTGGAGAGTCAATGCCCTTTTTTATATGTGATTTCAATTCCTCATCACAGTGAAGGCTTTGCTTGGAGTTTTCTGGGGATATATTTGTCATAAATCTAATGTTTAAACTACAATTTGTCTTTCTCTGGAAGTAACGTTGACAAAAATCTGTTTCTAGATTGTTGTTCCTAATCCAGATGTGCGGGGTCGTCAGGAGATATTGGAGCTCTATTTACAGGATAAACCATTGGCGGATGATATAGATGTGAAAGCAATTGCTCGTGGTACACCAGGATTCAATGGGGCTGGTATATTTTTGCTTCTCCTTCAATTTTTTTTTTTTAAAAAAATAATATTAAAAGCATCCCCACCTTTCCTCTTCCTTTTAATGAGCATATAAGAATTCTTCCCTTCTCTTCAAACTAATTTTATTGCCTTGTAAATGAATTCATTTCTCTAATGGAGTTATATGAGGTAGGAACCAGTTCATCTTCTTCTTTCCTTCACAACTACATTATCCTACAGATTTGGCGAACTTGGTAAACATTGCCGCCATTAAGGCTGCTGTTGAAGGTGCTGAGAAGTTAACTGCGACACAACTGGAGTTTGCAAAAGACAGGATAATCATGGGTACTGAGCGGAAAACAATGTTCGTATCAGAAGAGTCAAAGAAGGTGCGCGCTTACGATTTATCATTTCTGTGGAAATCTAGAGTAAGAGAGGAGTATATGACCAGCTCTGGTTGATGATATAATCTCATATTAATCCTAGTTTGCACTTTCCTTTTATCTATTATAAGTTTTGTTTGGCTGTGTGTCGAGAGAGTGGAATGGGTGGAAGAACTGGACCATCATGTGGCATAAATCTTATATTGGTGGTTCATCTATGGGATATTTAGAACTTAATCACCAGACTGGTTCCGAGCATGTATATCTAGAGGTTCCTCTTCGCTCTTGCATATACCAATTGGTAGAGCAAAAGTTGGCCTACCAGTGGTGAAAAGATTATACCTTCCACTTGAACGACATGGTTCTCAGGATTTAGTAGGTGAAAATTATACTGTCCAGATGATAATAAGAACCTGGGTGGATGGTTAGGCCAAGTGATGGTGCCAGTACATTAATTTTCTTAGATAGGATTGTTGGATTTTCATGTGACGTTTTGATTTTTGACATGGTGAATTTAATTTTTCCCTGTTCATCTGCTGCATGCAAACTAGGGCACTGCATTGACAGCTTTCCTGCATTGAGATTCCTGCACAGAGTTGTTACTGTAACTGACATAGCTGCATCTTTTCAGCTCACTGCATATCATGAGAGTGGCCATGCAATTGTTGCCTTCAACACTGATGGTGCTCACCCAATTCACAAGGCAACAATTCTGCCACGTGGATCTGCTTTGGGAATGGTTACGCAGCTCCCTTCAAGTGATGAGACATCAATTAGCAAGAAGCAGTTGTTAGCACGTCTTGATGTTTGTATGGGAGGAAGAGTTGCAGAAGAGCTCATCTTTGGTGAGGACCATGTCACTACTGGAGCAAGTAGTGATCTTCACACAGCTACAGAACTTGCCCAATATATGGTATTCCTCAAGTTTACAAAATGCATGCCAATACTTTTTGTTCTTTTGGAAAAAGGAGTACTTATCACCCCTCCGTTTTTTTTTTTCCTCTAACACAAACACAACCTGGGGTGGGGGTAAAATTCGAGTTTCCAGTTGCTGCGAATATAATATTTATCTAAACTTGACCTCATTATGCATTAAATATTAATCTAGCATTAGAATTGCCAGTGGGTAATATGAAATTTAAGAAATTTTCAAAACCTCATGGAAATTTCCATTGCCCAAAGTCCTAAAGTTTAATCCATGTTCAACCTTTATGTTCATTTGAGGAGTAGCTTCCTTAATTGCAATCTTGTGATGTCATTTTGTCCTTTTCTACCCCAGGTATCGACTTGTGGAATGAGTGACACAATTGGACCAGTTCATATCAAAGAGCGGCCTGGTTCCGAGATGCAATCACGCATTGATGCTGAAGTATGTTTTTGGACTAGCATTGTTCTTATTATGCATGTCCGTTATGGTTATTGATTTGTTATATGGGTTGTGCAGGTGGTTAAACTCCTAAGAGAAGCATATGATCGTGTAAGAACCCTGTTAAAAAAGGTTCGTCTATGATCTCTTATGATAGTTGTTTTGATGGAAGGAGAAATGTAGAACATCCTTGAATAGATTTAAAGGATGGTAATTTTTTTTTTTAAGGGATGTTTCAAGTCTTGAAGGAGGTTACTGAGATATTCTAGGCATCCAAACCATAGATGCAATCCTAATATCACTTTACATATAATTTTCCCTGAAAAAAATTAGTAGCAATGGGTCCATGATTAGTAGCAATTTAGGGCTTGTTTGGTTCTTTTTTCTGGAAACTAAAAATCAGCAAAACAAAAAATTGTTGAGTTGACAATGTATGAAAATGTTTTTTTTATTTTTATTTTTATTTTATTAAATTCAGTATATATATAAAAGAAAAAAAAAAGGGGGGGTCTGTTTTTAGAGAACTGTGTTTTAGAGTTCTTGAGGGCTGTTTCAGGTCCTAAATCCTGAACTTCAAATGGGGTTAGTCTTATGAATTATTGAAACGACCAAAAAGAAAGAGTGGGACAAGGTTGAAGATGGAGGTGCTTGATTGTCGCAATATGGATAGTTGTATCATATTAAAGTTTCATTCTTTTCCCCGCTCAAATTATGCGCTTTAACTGACAACATTTGGTATTTTTTTGCTTTTCAGCATGAGAAGGCATTACATGCGCTGGCCAATGCACTTCTAGAGTATGAAACGCTTGGTGCGGAAGAAATAAAACGTATTCTTCTTCCCCGTGAGGAAGGACGGTTGCCCGAGCAACAACAAGAAGAGGAAGGGGAGCTTGTATTGGCTTAGGTCAGTTAGGATGTGTAACTTTATTAACTGTAGTGGAGCTCTGTACAGTGTATACGAAGCTCCACGGAATTATTTAATATAAAATTCATAATTTTCTCCTCGCATATTCTCTATTTTTGGACACAATAGAATCTGTTGTACCTTGTACCTATTAGCAATTTGTTTATTCACTCCTAATAAAACTGAGAGAATACAATAATCTTAAATATCTTGCACTCTTACCCGATTGTAGATTAAATTTTGAAGGCAATACATTGTTCACTCTGTTGGGAATGAACAGTTCTATATGATGTTCCATACTTCCATTCTATTTGTAAATTATTAAAACGTTGGTGTCTTTTCCTTTATTATCTGATAGTGTTTCCCAGATTCCGAACTATATGACATTTTCTTTCTTTGTTCTTTCTTTTTACGAGAATCAAAGTCTAGTGTCGAATAAGTTGGGTATAATTGTTGAGTTTTAGGGTGGCGAATTCAATGGAGTTGGTTATAGTGATCCTGCGACTGAAAAAATATGCTTAGACATGCTCAATTAGGTGAAAATTTTGACTTAGATGGTGCTTTTTTAAATATATGGTGCTATATATATATATATATATATATATATATATATATAATGGTGTTTTTTGTAGTACAATGGTGTTTTTTGTAGTACAAGTCTGATGGATAGCCCGTTTGATTGTTCGGAAGAATAATGCTAACTTTAGAGTATTTTTGCTGTGATTTTGTACTTTCAACATAAAAATAGTCTTATTTGGTGTTATATTTGGTGTTATACATGTATTTATGCATGACAATTGCATTATATATATATCAAAGTGTCTGTCCCTAGCGAAGAAGGGGGTGGGGTTTGGAGGAGAAGAAAAGAAAGGAGATCTCTGAAGAAAAGGGTATTTACATCTACCCTTTTTTACTCCAACTTCTCCTCTCTAATTATGGATTAGAAAAAGGGTAGTTTAGATGTTAGTGACCAAAATTTTATTTTATTTTATTTTATTTTATTTTATTTTTTTTGTGCTTTACAGTTACTTTGAACTCAATAAAAGGTAAATAGTGATCAAACTTGGAAAAATATTTACTAATGAGTGACCCTTTAATTTTAATCTCCTAAATACCCTTCCTTCTATTCAGAGATTCATAGTTCCTTCTCTGTGTTCTCCAACCTCACCTCCCAAATATCAAAGCATCAAAAACCAATATATTTATTTATTTTGTTATTATGATATTTAGTCAAAATTCAAGATATTTCCATCAAACCACTATTAGTTTAAACGAGTTTGATACTCAGTACTATGATTCATATCATGTCAATCTTTGATATTTGTATTATTGGACTCCTTTATGTTATTTCTTTTTTTTTTTTTTTTTTTTATATTTTATTCTTGGTGGCTATATATGGATTCTATCTATGAAATATGTGATATTTATGTTCAAAATCTACCAATTTGGTCCCCTCAATGTATTATCTGTTGCTGCAATTGCCTTGCTTACATGGTTGGCCAATGGTCCAATAGGAGGAAAGCTCATCTTGGCACCGGCAGTCATGGACTACATGGTTAAAATTGTTGATTGTAGATTTGGGGGTGGGGTTTGGAGCAAGGTACAATCTCAGGTAACAGTTTTTATAGGGAGTAGGCCTCCCAAAAGGTAACAGAGGCGTGCAAAGGTTTCCTCGGGTTGGACGGAGATTGGCCCTCGAGTGCAAAGGCAAAAGGGAGCTTGACTGCAAGACCCAGCCGTCCAGCGGGGTCGAAAGTCGGCCTTAGTGATCTGAAGGTGCCAAGTGGAAAAAAGAAAAGAAAGGAGATCTCTGAAGAGAAGGGAATTCTCTGGCGCTGCTTACTCCATATTGGGCTAGCAGTGTAAACAAAATACCACCTCAAAAGAATATGAACATGGAAAACATGAAACACTAAAGCAACATAGGAACATTCCTTCCACCGGATATTCCACTATGCCGGAAACAGAATCTATTCTGCTTCTGATAACATTTTAAAATCAGTTTATTCATCCATGTGGGCAGTCTTTTGAAGTAAAATAATCTGGAGATAATCCATCCTTTTTCGCTATAGCTCCACCACAGAACCTTTTATTTCTACTTTCATTTTCGTTTTCAGATACAATGACAATTCAGCCCGCATATATGGAAGAGGAGGGAAAAATAGTGCAGATGGTGGGAAATGGGGAACCATAATATAATCCACAATCCATAAACAAATCGAACTCAATGATGTCCCCAGGGCTTTTTGACAACTTGCACAAAAGTGCTTACTAAGAAAACATCTGAAACTGAAATGCAACAATTGTAGGAGGAAAAGTGAATATAATCATTTTCAATTGTTATGGTTTGGGAACAAAGACACAGCCAAAATCCACCAGGCCATTGGCCAAGGTGGTATAAGCATACCCTCTCCTCCCTAATGTGGGGTGTTTGACATGTGAGTTCTTACCTAACCAAAAGAAAAAGAAAAAGAAAAAGCGCCACATGATGCTTTATCAGATCTCAACATGAAAAGGAAAAAAATATAATTCAACCATTGTGCCTTGGCTCAAGTGGCAAAAGGATGGGTTGCTAGTATAGATTAAGATACGCCCTAAGTTCAAAGATTGCTTAACCAAAACCAACATAAAGAACATAAATTAGACGAAAAACACAAGAACAAATGTTTACTGCTGAACAGCAAAATCATAAAGAAAACACCAGTTGTCGGTACAAAATGTGAAGGAATTGCAAATGCAACTAGAATTACTAGAGGAGGTGACTTCAAACAAATTCCAAGAGAGCTCTTCCACACCACAAGTATTTTTCCAATTATTTTTTACCATTTAGGTGTTTAAGATTTAAATTATACTACTTTTCAGTACATGACGAAATAGTAATAATAATATGGTCATGACACTGATAAATAGTTATTACAACCTCTCTACAATGATACACAGCTGGCCTTCAGGTTTCCTATTCCACGCTAAATGAAATTGTGATGAAGCTACAACTACAACATAAGAAACAGATCTACAAGCACCAAACCTTTCATGCACATATTTACAACTATAGAGCATGACATACCATTACAGCCAAAACCCTGCAAATCACATAGAAAGACACACCTAGTCCTTTGATTTTTACTTTTCATCGTGTGATTTAGGAACTTAGTTAAAAGCTGTGGTTCTTTAACTACCAAGACAGGAAGGTCAGCATAATTTAAAAACAAACAGAAAACTGAAAGAAAATGAGAGGAAATGTATGCCCAAGATGGAAAGAGAGCTACTACCGGTCCATCTCTGAAGCCTCTGAGATTTGAAAGCCTCAGACGAATATTCTTCCAAGGTCATCTTTGCATCCACCCAGCCCAACTCTTAGATCAAATCAATGGGCTCTGTACGGCCCTGCACAGCCAGCCTCTCGGAAACCTCAGCAAGAGACTTGAGATTGCACTTGATCAAGGCTTCAACAAAGTAGCAGGTCTCATCCTTGGTGTTCCCGTCAGGCACATCCACCACAAAGGACTCAATCACCAAAGTCCCTGGTCTTCCTTCAATGATCTCTGGGTGGAGGGAAATGGTCGAAGAGTAGTTCTGAAAAAAAATATATATATATATAATTATAATAATAATACAGGAACTTACAAAAATACAAAACAAAAAAGATACCGTCAAGCTGATTTAGACCAACTGTATGATAGCTGCGCCGCAGTCTGCAGCAGTACTAGTAAGTAGATAAGTAATCAGAAAGCAAACTTTGCCTAGTTCAGTCAACGTAACTTTTGAAATAATAAAATATAAGATTTCAAGCTTATTAATAACTTTAAATTGTATCAGAGAACAATTGATGGTTAGGGTTCAGTTCCAACAAATCCATCAAAAAATAAATAACCATATTCATATGTTTACCATCATTCAACTGTTCAAGACCACTAAAGTCATCATAGGAAATCGCTTTTCCTGTATGCACAGTGCACATGGCATGCAGGGATGAACATTGGGTCCAAGGGCCATGGACAATCCACATTCAAGCCTAATTTGAAACTCCCTGTCCAAATGTGCAGCCCTCTAAAGTTAGAACCATAAGACATGGACCCTATAAATGTGGACTTTTTTCTTGGCCATGTAAGAACCAAGCCCCTAACTTCACCACTCCCTTTCAAATCCCAGTCTGAATTACTACACATTTTGGCTATTAAGGTGATCCTGGAACTAGAATCAACATATAATATCACCCTAACTTCCACAATTGTAGATTTTTTGTCCACTTATTTGCTTTTACCTTCTCCTAAGTCACCAAGAGACGCAACCACCCATTGTATGAAAAAGGCCATTATCCGGTATTGATCTCACCTATGCTATGCAGGGTGTTGAGAGGGACAACCTAGATGCAGACATAATTTTTGCAGAAGCAACCACTCATTGTGTGTGAATATATAGGACTCATCAACTGATGCAAGAAACTTAATTAAACCTACATGTTTGATAAAGTGGGAAGAAATAAATAAGCATGATACTCAAGCCAATAGAGAAAACTTTCTCCATCTTTTAATTATCAGTGGAGTAGAATAACCTATACGTAAGAAGTTCCACTAAATCAGGATACTAAAATTAAGAATAAATGGGAAAAGCGTTAGCATAGAAAATTCCCAAATTTCTAAGATTGAAATAGGTAGTGTGGTCAACATTCCTATGTCTTATATTAATCCAGCAGCTCAGGTAATCATGGTTTGCTAACAGTGACGATTTTATTTATGAGATAAGATATCAAACTATATTGTCGTTGCATTCACAAAAAGATACGTCAAAGATCATCTTTCCAGGCAACCACAATTTGCACTCCATTACAACAGGATCAGTGCATTGTAACTTCAGAAACATGTCCATCATATTTCCTTGATATAGTGATTTTGCTTTCACTTGGCCAAAAAAAAAAAAAAAAAATTCAGATGTGAAATGAAACACTATGACAAATGACTTGCCTGGAAAAGGGAAAAGAAATGACAATTGCTAAAATACATACATTGTGAACAGGGATGAAAAAACAGAATTAGAGAGAGAATAAATAGTTTCCATACCCTAAGTCTGTGATCCCCACCGATAATTTTGACACTAAGGATATGCTCATTATCATCAAGATGTTCCAATCTCTCAGTGCTGGTAGTTGCAGGAAGCCCTGACTTAACATCAACTTCTCTAAGACTCCCAATCCCAAAGTTTCCCTGGACATTGCACCTGCTGATAAACGGCTTATACTTTTGTGGTTGATCAAATCTTCTCACCAAAGACCAAACCTGAGGAATTGGAAATAACACAATACTTAGCAGATTTGACAATTCCAACATGACAACTTCTATAATTTTCATAAATAAGATTACTCTATATGAACCCATGCGTATCTATGCACAATCTCAGAAGAAAGACAAGGACATAACATGAATGAATTGTTAGTCATCAATCGTCTGTGATCAGATGTTGGAGTCCATAACAGTACCTTTCCGAAAACATCCCTGAAACCTCTTAAACAGCTCTAGAAATGCAGTAAGCAATTCGAGACACTAATTACTACTGAATACATTTTTAAAATTTGCTCTGTTTAATTGTTTCGATTGTAAGAAAAGAAAATAAAGTAAAATTTCGAATCTTTAGAGACCCAATTCATTAATAACATCCTCTATAACTAAGTCTAATATACAAGTTTTGGGCTTTTTCATCTCTTGCAAACCATAAACATAAAACATTAGATTATGTTTTTTCTTTTCTTTTTCCTTCTCTCGCCAACCAAACAAAGATTGTTCGGAAAATGGAAATGAAATTTGAATGATGAAACAATACGTCAAAAAATAGCATCAGGTTCAGTTACAAATCATCACATAAAAAAGAAAAAAAGGCTTCGAATTGAAGCAAAGAAATATAGGTCATACATCTAGAATCCACAATCAAACCAACCAATTCCACAAACCTATCCAAAAGCCTTTCAGAAACATCACCAAACACAATCAAATTTCAACAAAATCCGCATTTCATTCAATTAATCCAGAGTGCATAAAACGAAACATAAATCTGTATACTCGCACACAGGCATACAAATATATACATATTGAGAGAGAGAGAGAGAGAGAGAGAGAGAGGTAATACAAGGTGAACAGGAGCCTTGATGTGCTTGACGAGAGCAGAACTACATTGATTCTTTGCCGGCTCGTGCCTGTGATGTCTCCGAATGTACTCCGACTCCATACCGCTAAATCCATTACCATACATGGTGGCTGTACCAACCAATCTCGTTCCAACTTCTACTTTCTCTCCCTACAGCATCAACAAGACAACTTTCTCGCTCTAAATCTCAAACAAAAACCATTCCTTCGCCGGAACAACTAACCGGAAAATCCCCTCCGATCACCGATTCAACAACACCAACGCAGCTTCCTATCTTCTATTCGTGAGTTGACTCAGAACCCTTCCAAATCCACCAGCATAGCTACTAATAGCTTCATAAAAAAACACAACCTCACCTCCCTATCATCTCATCGCCTGAAATATAATATTGCCGAATATATACACACACTAATATTTATATATGTGTATATGTATAATTGTATACTCCAATGTAGTCGTGCATCACCGCATTGTCATTGAGCGGGTTTTGTATATGCCCTGGGAAGGTGATGAAACTACGGTTTTGCCAATATTTTGTCCGTTTCTGTTTCTGAAATTTTTTAATGTCGAAATTGTCCTTGAGTTGCATTGGTTAAGCATTATTTAATTTGTCTTTTTCCCGGAAAATGATAAGCTAGTTTTTTACTTACTTTAATTAGATGGGGACACATATTATGTACGTTCTTTATCACATCCAATTTGATAGTATTTTCTAACATTAATTATCTTAGTTGTACATTTTCAGTTATTTTGACATCTTCTCCTCTCCAACAATAAAATGTACTCGTTGTACTAATATAAACACAAGCCATAATTTACAAAGTTTTTTTTTTTTTTTTTGCACTTCATGTAATTAACATATGCCTTAAAATAAATAAATTAATAAATAAATAAGAAAATTGCAGTTTAGAGTAGAGGGTTCAAGTTTATGTGTTGATATAAATGAGTGTGTGAAATATATATCAAAGTTATCAAATATCTTGTGCTTTAGAAATATTTCATTTACCTCTCAAAATGAATGATTTGATTTCGAGTTTTCAAAAAAGTAAATTTCAGTGTGTGAGTTTATTGCCTCACAAAGAAAAAAAAAAATTACCGAAGTTAAAAATAATCATAATAAAAAAATTTAACAAATTATATAACTTTTAACTTTATTATCCACTTTGATATATAATAAAATTAACAACTCCAAAATTATGAGGTTAGAGGGAGATAAGAATAAGATCAGGACCATGTTAAGATCACTATGTTATAAAATATGATTTCCAGTTAGGTACTTAGGTCATACATCCGGAAAGATAATATAATAATAAAAGTATGGACAATTTATTATAAAAAGCTAATTTACTTGATAAGAAACTCGCTATTTAATGTAAAAAGCTAATTTATTATTATTATTATTATTATTATTATTATTATTTTTGACACTAACGAACAGATTAACCATTAAAAGAAAAATAAGAACATTCGAGAAAGAGAGCATCTAACAGTCACTGGGGTCAAATGCTCCACTCAAAATTGCCACATTCGGCTAAAAGAATTTTCTTACTTAAAACATGAGCTATAACATTTCCTCGAGGAATTCAAGAGACTTAATCTTATTAAAAATAACCATTAAAGCTTCAACAAATGCATGAAAGTTCATAACTAATTTAATTACTTGATAATAAACTCAACTTTTATAAGTAAGAAATTAAGTAACAATGCTGAAATTAAATTGTTGTAAACTAATGAAACTAGTTTATAATGCGAATTAGATTCAATTCAAATTTTAATGATAATAGTATATTAGGGAGTAAGTTTTTATTTGTCATCATTATTTTTGTCTTTCTCCGAGTATGTCACTTTTTTGTTTGCCATCATTAATTTTGTCTCTCTCCAGGGATGTCACATTTACATATTACAGTGTAATTTAATTATCTTCCACATAAGGATGTCCCATTTGTCAAACTTATTTCGTCTTAGGGTGCACGCGATTTGGTTTTGATCGGGTTGAGAATTTTTCAGAATTAAATTATTTCTAATTGTATCAAAAAATTTAGGATCAAACTTAACTATTTATCTAAATAAATTAAACCAAACCAAAACGTGTATTTAAATAAACTGAACCAAACCAAATCGTGAAACACCGATTCAGTTCGGTTTGGTTCCACGATTCCTTTTGTTACAAAAATATTCATATTTCAAAGTTCAATTCACAACAATAAACTAAGTTAACAAACACATTCACAACTATTAATATATTCACTTTTAGATTATAAGTTAATACATTCAAAATTGCTAATATATTCATTCAATTCTTCTCTGCCACTTTTTGAAACTGAAATGAATTAGTGAAAATCTTCATAAAGCTAATAGTCAGAAAACCAATTTAAAACCGCAACCAAACAAACCGTTAGTAAATCGAACCAATCTATTTGATCCCGTCCGATTTTAATTTTCGATTTCACCAAAATTTTGTGCATCCGTGTTCATGACTATCTATAACTTGTAAGCGAATCATAAATTCTTAAATCTTAATCAACAATGATCTGAGGATGTTTAGAAAGCTTATGATTCCAATATATAAGGTCTATGAATTTATCTTGTAAAAGGCAGTGTAATAAAGCATCAATCCCTTATTGTGTTATGCTGATATAACTCTTTGAATTTCCCCAAAAGGAGAGAAAAAAGACGGCTAATACTTGCTTAATTCTAAGTAAGAATTCAATTTAGAGTTCCTTTACATGAGATAACAAATTCAGTGTTTCATTTTCAATAGTTGCCCCAATTCAAGTAGATAACATTTCGCCTCTTCATGTACGAAAGACTCAGTTCTTGTTGAAAAAGAAACTTTTGCAACACATTCCTTATAGTTTAATGCTAAATAATTAACTCTCTAATATACTTAAAAGACAAATCACTCTTTCTCATTTGATCTTTCAAGTTCATTTTTTCTTAGTTTGTCAGGATATATATATATATATATATATATATATATATATATAATAAAAAAAAAAAGAGAGAAAAAATAATTTTATTCTAATCTTATTCAATATTAAGGATATTTAAAGGTGTTGTTTGATAAAATTAAAATGTAATGAAAATTTTAAGCGCTATTTATGGAATAGATTTTTTTGATATTATTTTACACATGATGCGCTCCATCACTTTTGGGATCACCCTCTCAAAAAATTTTTGGTGCAGGTAGAATGCAAAAATTGCATGTATCGGGTGATGAGTTATGGAGTAATTTAAAAAGTGTTACGCCACCATCATATTATAAATATAAAAAATAAATATCCCATCACTTAAAAAGTTCTATTTTTTATTATTTATTATTTTTTAAGTGACATCTCCATTACTTACTTTAATTGAATAAAAACGTGAATCTATAGAGCTACCCTTGAAAAGTAAGTTGATAAAGTTGGTCTAAGCAACTTTTCTTGTAGTGGATCGATGCATTGCACTAATGGCCAAAGGGTTGGCAAATGTTGGAGAATAGGTTGATGTTCATGCATTCAAACCGGCCAGAAGTGAGTTTAAACTTAATCAAATACACCAAAACGAAGCTTGTACTCATATGGCCTTATTCTATTGTATTCTTCACAGCCTAATTGGAAGCTTATATATGATGCATATGTATATATCTTGCATGTCATCATGACACATATATATGTAGATATATATGTATATATATATATATGTACATATGTATATATATATATACGGGACAAGAGAACATAAAACACAATCAAATTTGTCAAGCGTTTGGACCAATTAACTTATCCAGAATAAATATGTATACATATGTACATATATACATATATATATGTACATATATATATATATATATGGGACAAGAGAACATAAAACACAATCAAATTTGTCAAGCGTTTGGACCAATTAACTTATCCAGACTAAAGTAGAAGTATTTAAGAACGGGACTGTTACCAAAAATAGACATGACTTGTTAATCGATTCTGGGTGTAGGGTTATATTCTTTGAATAGTATTGGAGTATGTGCACATATGACTCACACACCTATTACTTCGTGCTGAATTAATGAAAACATGAATTGCTTTTTGGTACAGTGTCGACCTACATTTGCTTTTTCACATTCTTTTTTTAACATGGACTCCACAGGTAGGTTTAACTATAGTTAAATCAAGGACACTCACTCTATATATTGCAAATTTTGAGCAATCAAAGATGGAAAATGATTCATTAATAGATTTTTTTAACAAGTTTAAGAATGAATTAGTTGGATGTGACAACCAATTCCCTATCAAATTCTCTATCTTATACTCCACTGCTTAGCTACTTTGATAAAGTTTTTAAAATTGTATACCACAATTCATTTATAGAAAAAAGAAATAGCGAACTTGCTATTTTTTTATTTAATTTTTGTTCAACGAAAATCTTATACTTTTTATTCATATTTAGGATTGAGCTCTCTTGTATAACGGGTGGACGCTTACCCAATTATCTAAACGGCTAAACTGTTGGATATTGCTACATACCCACCTATTTATACATTTTTTACTTTTCATCTAAATTCGATATGGGACAAATATTCCCTTATAACATTTTCTCTCATCCGAACTCGCAACACCCTCATTGCGGTCAAATTTTCTGTCTGTCTGAGTGACTCACCCAAAAATCTTCCGGATTGAATAATTCTGCGTACCAACCCATTTACTCCTTTTACTTTTCGATTTTAATACGAAACAAATAACCCTTCTAACACCATCCATCCTCTTTCAAAATATAGGTTATATGATTGGGCTGGAAGTGGAACTTGAAAATTTACTTTTGGTAATAAAAGTGTTGGATCACACATGGGCAATTTTCTGATGTGGCATAAGCCCTTCTTAATGAACAGATTATGGTTTCCACGTAGGATAACTGCAGGTCATACAACACTTATCTTTATCCATATATATCTATATATATATTTGTAAATACTGAAGAATCACTGGAGAATCATACCAATATGAATCCAGCAAGCTAGCAACTATTTTGACCAGTTAAAGTCAATGTATATCTGCTACTAGAGTGAGTATATACTTCAAAGTTCATAAAGAAAGCATCTATAATGGATAAATTTAGAAACAGGCATTCCAAGTTAATTTTTTTAAAAAAATAAAGAAGAAATTTTTAACGTTAACACTAGGTAATGCATGTCCTTAATTTATATATTTTGCCTCTTTGCAATTTTGCATCTCCTTCTACCATTGAAAGACAATTATACATAGTGACATGTACGTATATATGATCTATATATCTATACATTATGTAGCTGAACACAATAGGTGTGAAAAGTAGAAGCTAGGTGATGCATTTACGTACAGAAAGAGACAATGGTGGAAATTTGAGCTTTCTTCAACTATACGCTACACCAGACAAATTGGAATGATAATGTTGTCAACTTTTTAGATCTGGACACAAAGTCTACGTTTCGCAGGGAATATTTTTGTACTATATAGGACGCATGTGATCGAGTGAACTGAAGTACATTGTCTTCCACCATAGAGCCAATGTCTTGCACCACGTGTTGAGAGTTGATGCATTGTTATTAATGAGCATTTCAGAGAATGGTTCTTTGAATGTAGTTACGTGCATCCACGTACAACTTAAGTTATACATGGTGGATGCGGGAGCGGGAGAGAGACATATTTTAAAAAAATTTTAAGCAGGAGCATCGTGAGAGAGCCGCCTTATAAACTTATAAAATATTAATAGTATATATATGTTTTAAATAAATTTCATACAAATAATAACAAAAAAAAAAAAAAAAATTATACATAGAGAAGGAAAGATAATGAGTTAGTCGGCCATCCTTATTCCTTGCTCCTTAGAGCATCTCTAATGCAAAATGCTATATTTTCATACCAAATCTATCTTTTGAGAGGAGCTGTCAAAATGCTATATTTTGACAATTTTGTTCCAATGGTACATTTCATCCAAAATGCTATTTTTTGATATAATAACCATTCTATATTTTGAGAGCCCATTGGAGTACTTTATTTTCATTTTACTAACTTTTGACAATCTCAAAATATGAGAGATTTTTTTAGAGCCTATTGGAGTACCTTATTTTTATCCACTTGTTATATTTTGAGTTTGAGAGACCATTTGAGAGTTGCTATATTTGACAATACTTTTGACAATCTCAAAATATGAGATGTCTTTTGAGAGGTCATTTGAGTACCTTATTTTCACCCACTTGCTATATTTTGAGTTTGAGAGGCCATTGGAGAAGCTTTTACCTGTTATTGCTCTTCTTGTAAGAGTAATACAAGAAATCAAAGACTTTGTTCGAATCCTTCCTTTAGTTTAAAGAGCCCTAAACTTGATAGCAGTGAAAAAATGAAATGTTTTAATTTTTGGAATGAGAATAAGAGTGAATCAGGGATACAAGAAATCAAGACTCAAGACTTCATTCTTTCCATTCAAAGAACCTTACAATAGCAGAAAAAAATCAGAGATTTAGAATATGAAAAGTTATTCCTTCCTTTATTTCTTTACTAATAAATATTGAAGGTAAGCTATGTAGCACGGATACGGGATACGGATATGATACAATACGGATACGTCGACACGTCAAATTTTAAAAAAGTAGGACACGGGTGCGGCATGAACACGGCTACATAATAATATAATTTTTTATTATTATACATCTATTCAGTAGTAGTATTATAAAATTTTAATTCATTTATAATTTTTATACTAAGAGTTGTTCTGAAGTGAATTAGAAAATGAAATTATGTCATTATTGTAATCATTTTTATATCATTATTTCACTTCTTTGTCATTCTGGTATTCATATTATTTTCAAATTTACTAGGTAAACTTGTGTTAAAAATGTCCGAGAAGTGTCGACGAAGTGTTCAGGAAGTGTTGGTGAAATGTCCGAGAAGTGTCAGTGAAGTATCCGAAATAATAAAATTAATTTTTTATTTTTGAACACGTATATGAAGTGTCGGACACGTATTCAAGGAGTGTCCGACACGGGCACGACACGGGTACGACTCCTTTATAGAAGTGTTCGTGCTTCCTAGAAGGTAAGTATTATTAAATATGAACTCTATTATTATATTATTTGACCTATAAATGACATACTTTACTAAATTAAACTAAATTGGTTGGTTTAAATTGGAGGTAAAATTGAAATTTCTCAAGATTCACATTAAATCCGTGAATTTATTTTCCAGAGTAGTCGAATTCTTGAACAAAAGAAGGTAAGTATTATTAAATATGAACTCTATTATTGTATTATTTGACCTATAAAGGACATAGCTTACTAAATTAAATTAAATTGGTTACTTTGACATAATTAACCTTATTTGGTTGGTTTAAGTTGGGGGTAAAACTGAAACTTCTCAAGATTCACATTAAATCCTTGAATTTATTTTCCAAAGTCGTTGAATTCTTGAACAAAATATGCGATTTTTCCTTACACAATTCGTCGAATTAAATATTAAAAATCGGGGAATTCTTAAATTAAATCCGCGAATTTAAAAACATGAGACCGTGAATTTTTTACGAATTCGCTCTTAAACCGCCGATTCGCGCACTGAGCAATGGAGCGCAACGAATTATGTGACTTAGTGTACAACAATATATATATATATATATATATATAGTCTCAAAATTCCTTGAAGCTTAATTTGTATTCCTTGTGACATGTTACTACGATATATTATTTGTTAAAAATAGTATAAAGTTCATGCATATAAATTATGGACCTATTTATTATTTTATATATTCACTATATTATTTGTTAAAAATAGTATAGAGTTCATACATATAAATAATGGACCTATTTATTATTTTATTTTTTATTTACAACTCATGATTAACATTGTTTCTCATAGTATATTTTAAAATTTCTTTCAAATACTATATTCCCCAGTATTGAAATTGGAATTAGAATTAAAATTAAAATTAATGAAATTAAAAAAAAAAATTTAATTTATAAATTTAAATTAAATTTATTTTTTAATTTTATAATTTTTAATTTTAAAACTTCAATTTCAGAAGCACAGCTTGAGTCATTACCTAAATTAATGGTGGCGTTAATTCCTGTTGTATTCAGTCGTTACAAAGTCAAACTTTGCATTTGTGACTTGGATGGATGTAGGATGATGACATCAGTCATGACATGATGACCATCCTTTAATTTTTGAGCATGCTTAGAGTTTGGCAAGCCAAGAGTGGCCTAAGGCCCTGTTTGGAGAAAAGGACCACTAATTTCTTCTTCTTTGAGTAACTATGTTTATTTATTAATTTATTTTCTTTCTATTTATTTATTTAAATTTGACTATCTATCCCATTCATCTTGATTTGAAAAATGTGAATTCTTGAATTTAATTTTGTTTTGAGATACGAAGAGAATACTGTAACAATCACCAAAAAAAAGTACTCCGTTAGAAGTTAAAAGCCTATATATGTATTATTGGCAAAAGCCTATATATGTATTATTAGCAAAAGCCTAAATTTACCAATAAAAAGGTTAAAAGGTTGATACAATTAATGGCACTGTTGACAAAAGGAGGAAAGAAATATTACATTGAAGAACTAAAACACTTGAACACATATATAGTTTCCCCAACTGGACATTTGAGGATCACATCGTACATGGTGATTCAAAAAGGCACCAAATAGGTATTGATAATTTGTAGAACTCAAGCTATCCTTATAACTAATGGTTCCTTTAACTATCTTGACGTTTTCCCTATATAAATCAGAAAATGTTTGGGAGTCTGGATTTAGACTCTCCGTCCATACTCATGTAAATATAAACTATGTACACAAGATCAACATACATCTGGTTGTAAAAAAATACCCAGATTTTAAAAAAGAAGAGTAATCGAGTTACTGATCAGAAGAGCTCTCTCTCCATCTTGCTAAACGTATCAAGAAATAGAGCACTTCGGATGGGTCACAGAGAGAGTATGAAGCTACAGTGTCCCTTGGGATAGAAGATACAATAATTGGATACCCTTGTCCTCTACTTTGTAGAACCTACAAGAGTACAATCAATTAGCAATTATGGTTTATTATTATTATTATTATTATTATTATTATTATTGGTGATTGATTTTTCATTGAATATCAAGTTCTAAAATCAAGTTTAGTACCTTAAAGGCATCCTCATCAGTCCGATCATCGCCAATATACACCGGAGAGACGTCATCGGAGTTGGCAAACCCTAGGGTGTCAAGTAAATATTCCAGGGCATGACCCTTGTTCCATTTTATTGAGGGCCTGATTTCCATAACCTTTTTGCCCATTGTGAAGTGAAAGCATGAATACTTCACAAGCACAGAGTGCACTATTTCTTCTAATATGCTGTAATCCTGAATATTAATGCATGTGCAATACTTTTAGTTTTTCTCATTTCTTTTTGTAGCTAGGCAATATATAAAAGTAAATGCAAGAACGATTTCTATGGACTTTGATTTCAAAAAAATCAATGGATGATTATTATTAGATCGTTATATATATATATATATATATATATATATATATATATATATATATATTCTACTTTCTTCAAGTGAAAACATTGCAAACAACGGTGATGATATTGAACTGTGCAGTTACCTCTTCTTGGACTTGTCGGTAATGTACAGAGATGCAGAATCTATTATCCTCTATCATGACACCTTGTATTCTACTGGTTTTCTCCTCCAATTCAATTAACATCTGTTACCAACAACAAATGAAATTATACATGAAACAATTAAAAGAATTGAAAAAAAAAAAAAAAATGGTAAAAGAAAGAAAAATTGACAACTAATCCATAAGAATATGCCTATGTATGCCTTAAAAAATGAGAAATTTGAATGCAGAAGCAACTTCAAGGATCTAATAATTTCCCACTAGATAAAATATTAATCATCAACCTCAACTGTAAAATTTTTTTCTTCCAAAATTTGAAAAAGAATAAAAAATAAATAGAAGGGTCACTCAGAAGGACTAGTCACCTCTTTAATTGCTGGCAAGAACTCTTGTGCTGGTTGAAAGATAAGAAATTCGTTTCCCTATAAAATTTAAATTTCATGTCACTATTGTGAAAATTAACATTAATGAATATGTTTTCAATCCAATTTAGAACTTGTAGAAAATATTGGGGAATGCTGAAAATTTCCAGCTTTTGTGTTAGTGCATATGAAGCAAAATTACCAATTTGTTAGATTCATCAATCCCCAATTACAAAGAATTCAAGCTTTTGAACAAATTTCGGGCACCAACCTTATTATCAAGGGCTCTAGTTTGGTACTTGCCATCATAAGAGTTCAATTGTCTGGGTGGTCCCATTATATCCATCCCATGACTCCCAGCATAGTACACCTCATCCAACTTTACAAATTCATATACCTTCAAAACATATACATATACATACACATTACACAAACACATATTATCAAGCTTGCTTAGTCTAATGTAATGGTGGTCATCGACTACAGAAAGAGTTAGAGAAGAGTCTGAAGAGATCGAGGACTCATATGTTTACCTTGTCTCGGCTCCTCCCGCTAATTATAGCCGTTGGAAAGTGCCTAGCAACTTCGCATAGTGCAGAACGCATCTGCATATAATTTCAAAGCTCTATCAAATTTATATATTTTCAACCTCAACTATTATACAGATACTGTGTGTATGGCAGTGTGTGTATGCAGACGTCTGCAAAATTTTGTTTTGCAACATATGGCAGAGACATAACTATTAACTCGTATTATTTACCCGATCAGACATGAAGGCACGATCAGGGTCATTTACAATGGGTGAGAGGGTACCATCATAATCTAAAAACACGGCGATCCTCTTCCCTTTCGTGGCACTCATCATATCTTTAAACGAGCTCAATGCAGAAGGGTGTTCATTCTGTTTATAAATAAAAATGAAAATGAAGGTTAAATATTGCTAGTGAACTATTTTTACCAGTGATATGAAATTTAATTACTTAATTGACAAATGACTAGTGCACACTATACTATGTAGCTTGAATAGTCATGGAGAGTCATTTTGTGAAATCTTCAACAACCGTTTTTGGTCCTTATATAAAGGCAAGACTTTAAGTTTATGCATGCGATGTATATAATTCACCAAACATGCATTGAAGTATTACATTCTAAAATTAATTTAGTATTTAAAAATAAATAGAAAACTTACCAACCAAGAACTATAATTTTCGTCTGCAACATGTGCTTTATTAATGCTACGATCAGCAAGGTTTGGCAAAGTGAGTTCACCACCGTTATAATCATGTCTTGCTTTTGAGATGGATTCGGATTCGAAATCACTGGTTTCGGCAAGGAACCTTTGAAATCCCAATGCCTGGTAAAGCTTTGTGAAAACTCTCACCATCTACTTAACAAACAAAAAGAAAAAAAGAAAAAAAGAAAAAGAAAAAAAAGAGAGAGCAAATAAGTTTCTTCTTCCTTTAAATAAGCCCTAAGCTATACAAACATTTATGCTGAAAATAGAGGAAGATATTGGGTCATGAATTCCTAATTTAATTCTCTGCTTTTGCCAATGTGGCATGGCAAGATTTTAAAGTAGTCAGAGCATGCTCAGAATCTTTATTTGGAGTTAAAAATAAAACAGAATTGGGATGTCAGTAGTGTTACTCATAAATTACATCATGTCATAAGTAAAAATGTGCATCGTTACATGTTATAATTTAAATAGTCGAGTATCGTTTTAAATGATGCAATTTAATTAGATAATGATAATATGTGTTTTTTTTTTTTTTCCCTTATATTGGTCAGGAGAAAATGAATGTAGTGACTAGTCAATTGTCACGTAGTCTTCCTAGTGTGTAGAGAAGTATAAAGTGTGCTAAAATAATTGAAAGATTTTAGAATATTGGAGAACTGAGAGATATTTGTAAAGTTTATAACAGATTCTAGAAGAATATAGAGTTATGTAAAATTGTAAGAAAAGTTATAGATAATAGATAAGTTACTTATAAATATGTGATAATTTAGAGATGATGAGATATGTGAAATTATGTGAGGATGTAATGTGTAACCCATGATTATAGTAAATCACACTACATTTTTATTCCGTAGTAATAGAAGTTTTCCTAATAAGTGAGCGAAATATTTTTCACTTTATCAATAATCAATATCATTAAACTGGTAGAAAATTAAGAAACAAAAAGAAAAAACAAAGAAGATGACTAGCATATACAAAATTTATTATGAAGCCCACTAGTGCACAGCGCATGCAATGATGGGTGTAAGTTATTCTATGAAGCCCACTACTGCACAGCGCATGCAATGATGGGTGTAAGTTATTCTATGAAGCCCACTAGTGCAGAGCGCATGCAATAATGGGTGTAAGTCATTGTATTTCTGTATGGGCTAATAAGGACTCATCACAACTGTGGAAGTATTTCTTGACCCACCTGAAGTGTGATGGAATGATCCATCCATGGTGAATTGTGGCTAGAATGTGAAGTTAAATGTGTTATTACATTATTATATATTTAGAAGGTGAATTTTAATCTACTATTATTATACCATTTTAACCTCCTAAAAATGAATAAATCATAGTTTAGTTTCCCCTATTTATTCTTTCTTTATATTGAAAGGGAATAATCTCTTCAAATTATTGTTTGTGCTAAAAATAAAATTAAAAACTTTAAGATTATTATTCAATACAATTCTCCTTAAAATATAAACAAAATTTGTATAGAAAGCCTGTGATGCAATCCACTAACAATGCTTTTAATTTCAAATGTGTTACTGTAATTTGGTTCTTGATGATATTTTTATATTTAAATTCAATATTAATGTTAAATAATTTGTAATTTACTCGCTTGTGCGACGAATCTTTTTTACTACAAAATACGGTCATACAATTTACAGTACAATATATAATACAAATTACATTCTTCACAATACTATATGCAACATATATAATTCAAATTACATACTTTTACATAAATTATATATTCATAACTAGCAATAATAAATAAGTTAATAAGTGGTATTTTGAAATTTGTAGCAGTTAGTTATAATTGTGACCATTACTAGTATATATACAGAAGGCTACTCCTCCTTTCATGATCCAAAGGTTATGATTGTATTATTAAAATTCCTGGTTAATATTTGGTTAAGATTTAGTTTTGAGAACTTTCCACCTAAACATATATGTAAATTCTCTATTCTTCTACCATCTTCTTCAATCTATCAACTTCTATGAACTTTTAATATTTTAAAATCTCTCTCTACAACATTTCGTACTTATTTCTTATTTAAAATTTTGAATGAATAGCAAAAAAAAAAAAAAAAAAAAAATTGTTGATATAAATATATATGAAATAATAGAGAAAAAAAATAGTACATAGTTCAAATTTTTGCTACTAACTATATATTTAGACCATACAAAATCCGTTAGACAAGAATATTAGAACCACTCAAGTCAAATTGAGTTGACTGTCTCACGCCTAATCATATAACCCAAGCCAACATGTAGTTACTATGATATATGAAGATACACATCTATTTCTACATAAATTATAAAAATAATAAATAAGTTAACAAGTCCTATTCCGAAAGATCGTTTATAGCTCAGTAACAATCTTTTGAATATTTATTTCAACCAAATTTTACTTAAATAATAATAATAATAATAATAATAAGAGTTAGTTCAACAAATAAAAAATAATTGAATTTTTTTTTTTTTGTTTTTTATTCCCTCACTCAATAAAATAGTGATTAACATCGAGTATGCATATCTTCCCATGCAATCATCTTACAAGTGTGTGTAAATCATTCAATAGGCCGCTGGACACAAAAAGTTTAAGAGATAGTCACTTTCGGAGCACTATCAAATTGAAAGTGATTACATAAAAAACAAAAAGAAAACAATGGAAGAGCAGTATTAATATCAAATTAGTCAGATTCGATGACTCAACATTACCTGGCTTAAGTTGAAAAGTTTTCTCAGTAGGGGTCAATCAATTAATGCACCTAAAACAGACATGATAGGACTAAACGATCAATAAATTAACTTTATAGTACTTCAAGGACTCTCTAACCTCGGTCCAACAACATATGCCTATTGATGTAGAGCCTAATAAATAAAACAACATGCCTACCGATGTAGAACCTAATAAATAAAATCAATCTCTCTCGTGAACAAAATAGCAAGATGGGAGGGATTTACAAAAATAAAATTTTATATATATATACACGGAGTATACTTTTAGTATTTAAGAGCATTTTTAATGAGTTGGTAAAAAAAAAAAAATTGAAAAGCATTCTAGGAGCAAATCTTAAAAGAAGACACTACTACATGTTTGAAGGAAGACAAGACGGGTACTAAGAAAAAATGAGATTTTTTTTTTTTTTTTTTTAAGTTCAAATATCTCTGAGTGAGCTTTCAAGCTAATTTAATAAAAGCAAAATTTATGCAAATGGGTTTTTCTAGGAAAATGAAATATATATATATATATATATATATCAGTTTCTGTAATGAACAAATACAATAAGAACATGGCTCTTACCTAATTGTGGGTCTTAGGTAAAAAGAAGAAAATTTCCTGAAAATATAGGGAATTTTCTAGCATCAGCAACTTCAAAACAGAATTTTCTACATATAATAACAAATGGTACACTTGTTTCTTGTCAAATCAAAGAGAAATGGATGAAAATAAACAACTTTTGCAGCCAGTTTAAGAAATATTTCCTCAAGTTTAACGCAGGATATGGCATGATTGTAAAATGTTTCCTATGAAACAAATACCTGCCATCAGTTACAAATAATATCAGCTTTTTTAAAAAGGTCACTAGATAATTAAAAATGTACATGTCTTCTTAAAAAACAAAAAATAAGTAATTAAAATATAAATATTGAAGTTTAGGGATGAAAAATAAAAAAAATAAATCATAGAAATTTTTGTAAAAGTTAGGACATTTTTACAAGTCAAAAGAGGCAGTAATAAAGAGACTTGTCTTACAAAAAGTTTACTAAAATATACAGGTTGAGACTCTCAAATATATAAATATATAATAGAAGTATAGTTTTCTTAGAACGTAGTACAGCTTAATTTGTACTAGAAAAACTATTGATCCAACTTACAAAAGATATTTATTTGTAATAAATCAGCTTTGGAAGCCAATGGTCGTTGCCACCCACAGAAATAAAGCCAGTGGTTATTTCTTTTGTATTCACGTGACCCGAAAACCCTAAACAATGTGAACATATACAACTAAACGAATTTAATTGATCCAGCTTTCTGCTTTTCAAAAAAAAATTGTTTGTAGTTAAAAAAATTATAATAATAAAAAATTGTTGAGATTGAATTAAACAGAAATGTGAACATATTGGACGTCGGTCAGAGAAACAATTGTTTTCCAAAAAACAGAGCAAGAGGACAAAGATTACGTGTCAGGAGCAGGGGACCTTTGAAAATTCGGATGAAAGACAAATCTACACGCGCTTTAGACGCAGACAGAGACTTATTAGAAAGTGTCTCTACAAATAGACACACATAGACACAACACGTCTTAGTCAAAGAAACTACTTGGAATTGAAAAATATACAATTTTTTTTTCTACAGTAATTAAAGTAAATAACAATGTCTTTGACAGAATTGCCCCTTTACCGACTTCATTTCTGTCCGCGTCTGAGCTTTTGGGCTCCTTTTCCTTCCGAGAGAGACCCTTTCTCTGCCTATCTTATTCTTATGCCATGTACGCAGGAACGGAGCGAGGATATAAGGTAAAGTAAAACAGAGTGAAAATAAATTTTGGGAGATAATAATTTATTTTTTAAGAATTTTAAGGAAGTAAAAATAATAGTTTATGGATATATTATTGAAAATGAACAAATTATAAGGATAAAAATCAGTAGGGCAATTTCCCCGACTTGTATACATATATATTGCTCTCCGCATAAAGAAAGAAATTTATAAAAAATATTACAATCAATAAGTACCAACTAAAATTCATGCATGACTAGACCAAAAATGAACAAATTAAGGAAAATGGCTATTCCGCATATATAGTGTATTCATTTCATGGCATAAAAATAGAACCACATCTCTCTTGTGACGAAGAAAAGACCATAGTGTAGAGCTCAACACCAGATTCCCCATCAACGAGGCAATTACTCTAGTAAAGAAGGAGAAAGGTTAGAAGGGCAATTTTGGCACTTCATTGTTGAGTTAAGATGTGGAAAATGTGACCAAGAGGAACACAATTGGTTTGGAAGTGAGAAAACTTAGAAACAAATTTTTTTTTTTTTTAAAGTAATAGAAAAGCAATGAATATGAATATACAGTCTTTGAATGCATTAAAATGAGAACTATAAATTACGGTAATATATGAACATTTTATAACAGTGAAAATCAT